AGGAAAACCAATAAAAAGGTTTATTCCAAATTTATGTTTGTATGTTAAGCTCTACAAATATTACCCATTTGAAAGTTTTTTTTTTATATTGTTGTTTCCTAAATATATTTTATATTGTTTTATTAACTTTTCCTCCTATTATGGTATTTGTTACTCACTATAATTTGCTTCTATTTTTTTTTCCAAATATATTTTCCAAATATATGCAATATGAACTGTATGCACGTTTATATATATTTTTCTTCTTAGCGAATTTGTGTTAACTGTTAGATTAATATATCTAATTTAACAGCAATTTTATTTTTTACTCCATATCTGCAAGTTTGTTTTCTGCTTTTTTTTTCGTTCGCAACAAACTCATTTTCATTAGCATTTTTATTTTTTAGTTATATAGACACATTTTAAAGAATAATTTTTATCTGAGGATATTTATGTTTTTATTTTAAAATATCACTACTTAAAGAAATGTGTCCAGAAGGAGATCTTAACGTTTTATCAGAAAACAATTTGTTTTTTTTTAATTTTATTTTACAATTCTATTATTGGGTTTATCTATATATATATAATCCAACCTTTGATATTCAGTACGAATGAATACAATACTAATGGAATAAAAAATTGTAAAATCGAAAATCGACAAGCAATAAACTTTTGCAAATATACCCGAATACAGATTTTTAGCGCCATCTATAAAAATGAAACCGAAACTACGAACCGCGATGGCGAACATTTAAATTTTTTAAGTATGAATTTCGAATTGAAAGTTGGCAACAATTCATTAGCGCTCCAATTTAGGTTTCTGTTTGGTGTACTTAAGCATGTTTATGTAAACATTAACAAATATTNTCGCCGTTCTTGTCTTTCAAGTTCTTCTCGCCTAATTCTCTCCTCCGTTATACGAGTCAAACACATCTTTACATCCTCAACCTCATAATGTTTACTAGTTTGAATTATTTTTTTAATTTCACAAACATTTGCTTGAGGTGGAACAGATTCACCTAATTCGTCGGCCAATTCTATCAAATCCACTTTTTTCGCTTTATTAAGAAAAGCCATAATTTACAACTGATAAAAAACTAAATATACAATAACTGACTACCTTAAATCAACTACTCTTACTATATCCCACCGCTGCCACCAGAAAATTCTGTTGTGTCACAACAACCAGAAATAAGACGTGAGTTGTACCAAACAATTTATTTAAACATTCACACGAAAAATCACAAAATATTACCCAAACGAAATATCTCTTCTCAGAAAAAAACTCTCTTTTTTAACAACAAAAAAAAGGAACATCACTTCTCGTGTGTGTCTCTCAAGCAACATTATTTTAGCATTACTTCTCGAGGAATTGATGCTTTTAGCTCAGTTGTCACTCTGTTACGTTACAATGTTTTTAAATTTATTAGTTGGGTGGCAAGTTTAACAGATCAGCATGTCATACTGATTATGAACATCTTATTTTTTGTTTTAATTATTTTTGAAATCGAAAACAATGAATGTCCTTATTTAATCAGTAAGTAATAATTAAATTTTTCTTCTTTTTTTAGTTAACTTTCGTATTATTATCTCCTTCTCCTTGCTCTTTAAATACATTACTATGAGTAAAATGTACCTTTTGTAATTGTGCATTTAATTTATTTTCATCAATTCAATGCTATTTTGATATTTGATTAAAGATATTAAAATTTTACTGGGGGTGTATCTGTATTGTTTTGTATCTTTGTCTTTTTGTTTATTTGTTATTTCCTTTCCTTCACCCAGATGGCAATACTTTTATACTAGTAACTGAAGGAAAAAATATATACTTTTACATAATATTTTGTTATTTTTTTTTAGGTTTTTGTAATAAAAATGTTGAAATTAGTCTTTTTTTTTAAGGATTTTGAAACTAAATGCTTTTTTTTTAAATTTTAAGTATTATATGTTTTTGAGCATCTAACTTCTTTTTCAGAACAATTTTGATAAATGCTATTTCTTGAAAGACATTTAAGTTTAAAAATAAAAAAATTATGCTTTATTTGATTAAAATATAGTGGCATATAAAAAAATTCGAGTGTTTTTTTTTTTTTTTTTTTTTTTTTTTAATTTTGTGTAAAAATATTTTTATTTCAATTGTAATAATTTTTGTATAAAACTAATTTACACTGTCAAAATTTTTTATTTGTTTATTTTGTAAATGCCACTCACTATGACAAACAATACCACCGATGCCATTAGTACATATGTTCTCCAATATTTTTCAATTGTACAATTAAAATTTAGTAGTGCAGTGCTCATGTCTGAATGTTCAGCAGTCATAGGGCGTGGAATCACAAGGAGAACAGTCGAGTGAATCGGCTATGCCGATACGGAAGAGGATTTTCATGAAGATTTCATGAAGGATTGCCCAGGTTTTATCCTTAGATACCTTTACGTTTTTCAAGTTCTACTTAAATGTCACATTGGTTAATAGTCTCAATGAATGAAAGGTCGACAGTTCTTTAGGTCTTTGGACTACCAAGGCTCCTTTTTAGAGAAGTGGCATTGCTGTAGGAGATTTTTCACTAGTATGAGTGCACCATGTGGAGGCGTGCTGCGTTGCAACCCTCTCTCTCTCTCTGTAAAAATATTAATTCATCATATCATTAAATTTTAAAATAAAACTTTTGTGTTCAATTTTTAGCTGTGAATATATTGAATTTTGCATATCTGTATTGCTAATTGAAAAATTGCTATAATTTAAAATAGAAATTTTTATGTTTAAAAAAAAATTGAAATACAATTTTAATTTTGTAAAGGAGTTTCAGATGTATTCGTTCAATTTTTTTTCTATACTTACTTTTTTAAGTAAAAGTTATAATGTTTATGGAATTTGTCCAACAAGTCAATTTACTACTTGTTGATAATTGCCAAAATTTCTAAAGATTTGGAAATTCTAAAGAAAATTAAGATATACCTATTAAAATTCCTTTCTTACATGCAAGTATCGAATTTCTATTTCTTGCCTAGTTTTTGGGTATTAGCAATGTTCATTATTTCAAAGAATTATGTAACATTTCCATACTTTTTAAAATTTATATATTTAAGTTACAATTTACATATTTTAAATTTAAAACTTAATATATTTTAAATTAGAAACTTTATATTTTGTCCCAACATTTATTCGTGAAATTTAAGATTGCCTTGAATTTTTGATTTCCTTGAAATGCACTTTAAAATCGTTACTCTTTTTTTGTTTTGGGCTTGTATTTTTACTTATACTTTTTACTCCATACTTTTTAAAATTAAATCTTTTTGCTCATTCTTTTTGCTAAAATCCGAAAGGGTTAAAGACAACATATACAACAATGCATATGCCGTTATGCTTATTTTTATAATAAGCACAATAGTTATGCTTAATATAAAAATATTATAATTATAAACTGCTTATATTTATAATATTTCCGATTTTCGTGCTAATAATACCGTTTATAAATACATTTGTTAAATTGCTATCGCGCCTGTGAGAGTGAAACTCAATCCTAGCTACAGAAATTCGGCAATTTTCTGATTTACTGTAGCTCCGTTTCTCTGATGACAATGCTAATTTCAATCATTTTCAGATCGCTTCAGAAAAAAAAAAAGAATTTATCGCTAATAGAACTTCGAACTACTTTTCCAACAATTAAAATGATCTGTATCAAGCCGCTTGTGATCTGTATCTGAGATTATACGAATTCTAACTGTCTCTTGACCAAGAGAAACAGAATCAAAAGGAAATTATCCTCAACCAAAATATCTGACAGCTCCTAACATAATATATTGCTATTAGGTTCTGACTTATAAACAGTCACTCTATGCGAGGAGGAAAACCAATAAAAGGATTTATTCCAAATTTATGTTTGTATGTTAAGCTTTGCAAATATTACCCATTTGAAAGTTTTTATTTTATTTTGTTGTTTCCAAAATATATTTTATTTTGTTTTAATAACTTTTCCTCCTATTATGGTATTTGATTTGTTACTCACATTTTCCGTCCCGCAGTGGACTGATCGTTAAGACACGGTTCCCAGCAGATCACCGAAGTCAAGCATCACTGGCTGAGGTCAGTGTGCGGGTGTGTTACCACTTAGATCAGCCTGCGTAGGGACCGAGGGTGTGTGGTATTGATCCTCGTTAAACTGTTCTACCGTAAAGTGCTCGACTTCGCATGCTGGTCGTCGGGCTACCAAAGCGGGGGTGCCATCCCCTCTACAGAGGATCAAAATTGTGATGGTACGTCTTCGGTTCATCCTTAGAGATGTTTCCCAGACCGTCGCCAATAGCCCATTGTGCAGCTCTAGTGCAACGTAAATGAGCACCAACTACTCACATTTTCCAATTTCTATTAAAGTGTTTATTTCAGCAAAGGTGGCAGCTCTGAAATATAATTTGCTTTCAAATTTTTTGCCAAATATATTTTTAACAATTATTTTATGCAATATAAACTGCATATACGTTTATATATTTTTTTCTTCTTGGCGAATTTGAGTTAACTGTTAAATTTATATATCTATTTTAACGGCATTTTTATTTTTTACTCCATATCAGCAAGTTTGTTTTCTGCTTTTTTTTCTTTCACCTCAAACTCATTTTCAATAGCATTTTTATTTTTTAGTTATATAGACACATTATAAAGAATAGTTTTTATCTTAGGATAGTTATTTTTTATTTTGAAATATCACTACGTAAAGAAATGTGTCCGGAAGAAAATCTATACATTTTCTCAGAATTTTTTTTGTTTTATTTTATTTTATAATTCTATTATTGTGTTTATATATATATACAATCTTTGATATTCAGTACGAATGAATATAATACTAATGAAATAAAAAATTGCAAAATAAGAATTTATTGAAACAAGCAATAAACTTTTGCAAATATACCCAAATGCAGTTCTTGAGCGCCATCTATAAAAATGAAATTGAAACTGCAAACCGCGATGGCGAACTTTTAAATTTTTTAAGTTTGAATTTCAAAGTTTAAGTTGGCAACGATTAATTTGCGCTCCAATTTAGGTTTCTGTTTGGTGTACTTAAGCATGTTTATGTAAACATTATCAAATATTTTTTTTTATTGTCTTTATATAATTAATCACTTCCTCGTTTTAGTCATCTCTATATTGTGAGATATCTAAGACGTGTACAATTTTTACATTTCTGTTTGTTATTCGTTTTTAAGAAAGAAAATTCTTTTAACGGAAATTTTAAAGACGTATGTTTAAATTGTTTATTTACTATTGTCCTCAGAAAAAGAATTACTTATGATCGAGCAGCAACGTATAAAGTGTCCGGGTATGATTTAATTTATAAGTTTTCTGCTTGGTAGAATTGACTATATACTGTTTTTTTTATAGTTTCTAGCATTTTACTTGTGGGTGTCATTTTCTCTGTTTGAACATCTGTTGCACACAAGTTCCCTATTTTGCTTATCAATGGATTTTACAATTTACGATCGTCATTGATCTAGAGAAACTTTACAATGTGTATAAAATATTTAATTATGTTACTTTTTATTTAAGTTATTCAACTTTTTTATAAGTAAAAGGAAAGTGTTTGACGTTTAGAATTCCGCTGCAAAAAATTTTTTCTACCAATTTTTGGTAACAACTTAGCAGTGGCTCCAAGGAAACCATTAATAAAAACAAAAATAAAAAATTAGAGGTTTTTTTTTTCGCCATTACCAGCAATTGAACTTCTGTGTTGCAATTGTTATGATAAGTATTTAATACTGAAATTTTCCTTGTTTATCTCTCTTATCTACATTTATAGCAACATTTTTAAAGAAATAAATCTTTACATATATTTTATACATAAATTAGTTGTCATTATTGAAAAGCAATTAAAACTTAGCTGTATTATTAATCTGGGGGTAAGTGAAAAAAAAACAGTAATAAAAATGTTAAAGAATATAAATATATATATATTACAATACCTGAAAATATTTAAAATAAATAGTAAACTGACTAACACAGCTATTAAAAAAATGTAGTTGTAAACTGGCAAAAAAAAAAGAGAAATAATATCTTAATTCTTAAAACAAAACTGTAATGCTAAAAATTAAAAGTAATATTTTCTGGGGGGGTGGGGAGAATTATCCATTGTACAATAAAAAAAGATGTCTATCAGAAATGCTTTTAAAATATTGCACTATCACACAGACACCTATAAAAGAAAAGAGATTGTATACTAAAGCAAAACAGAAAAAAAATAAAAATAGATCTTAATTTTTGAAAGAAAATTTTGAAGTTCCCAGTTACTGTATTTTCAAGAACAGTTAAAGTTTTCTAAATACTGTACCCACATTCACACAATAGAGAACAACACACCGAGAGAAACATCCATGCCCTGAGCGGGATTCTGACCCACAGCCGCTGGCTTCTCACTGAGGTATGCTAACCAGTCAACCATCTGGCCAGCACGATAAATAATATAAATCATAATTATTATAGTATGTAATACAAGCATAATGCATGATTTGCATAAAATTTTTTTTTTTATTTAAATCTTATCTAGTAAGTAATCTTGATAATCATCTATCTTTAATAAAATGTCCTTAATGGCAAAAAAGAAAGGCCCCAAGTTTTTGGCAGTTCTTCTCTGATTTTGACACTTTCGACTGGTTTCTTATTTGCCATGTCAAAAACCAGTATTTGACATGAAAAATACAACCTGTAAGGTAATAATAGGTTAACATATGAATTATTAAATAAGCTTTTAAATTGGATAAAATTATAAAAATTCGGAAACAGCGATCACTTCCAGTAAGTTATTTTTCGAATTATAAGAGCAACAAAAAACTAGATTATCCGGTAACACTATCTTTCTTGTGTTAATTTGTCCTGTTATAATTTGTTTGAATTTATCAGCAATTAAAAGAATGATGTCATATGGAAACTCTTTAAACTAGGTACTTTGTTCAAAAAGACTACAGTTAAATTATTACTTTTTATATTTTTAATGTTTTATTTCCCCAAAGTATTTTCTGCTGTTTGTTTAAAATAATATCCTCTTTGTGAAATACTGATCATGACCTTTATTACTGAATCTATAGATGTGTTTTTTTTATTTATTTTGCTATAGGTTCTTTTAACTGGAGACCATTGATAAGAAAACCAGAATTTTCTGCAGCTCCTGTTTCATGTTTCAAACATGTAACGTATTAATTATTTCCTTTTCTCAAAACAATAAATCAGAATCTTTAAATTTATGTATTTTTGTATAGAGTTACGTTTTTATCAGCTTTTATTTAATTGGTAGTCATTTTTAATATATCATTATTTAGTGTTGTCTTACATATATATTAAAACTACTCATTAATTCATTAGCGTCTTAAATATCATTTAAAAACAAATTAGAAACTCTTGCATATATTAATGCTTGATAAGTGATTTAAATTAAATATAGTTATTTTTATCATTTCATACGAATCGATCTAAAGTAAATATATTTTATGTCTAATAATTTTTTTCACTATGACTTATGGGGTTTACTGTGAAGTAATGACATCAACAACAGAAGAATTCGTTTCATCAGAAGAACTTCACATACGCCAAACTTGAATGGCTAAAAACTGTATGGCTTGAAACTTTCTTTTTTTAATGTGTACCTCCTAAGTCTTTAAACAATTTTGTCTGACCGTTGCCTTCTTTTGTACAAAAGCTGTTGTTTTGTTTTGACGGGGGGAAAGTAATAGTGTAATACAGCTTCGTGAAAATGGACATTAAACTTTGAAAAATCGCTACTGAAGCTTATCTGTTATAACAAAGCGTGTATGGCAATGAATGTTAATCATGTGCATGAATTTGTAAGTGGTTAAAGTGTTTTCAAGATGACCTTGATGATTCCCGGGTCACACTTACATGTCAAATACAAATGAAAATATTGAGAGAAGTAGGCTATCTAATATGGCTCACTCTTCAAACAACTGCCAGATTGCTCCTTAAGGTCAAACTATTATTCATTACTAGCTTGAGGTCCTTACTAAGCTCCGGAAAATATTATGAAAAGTTATGTTTTCAAGATGGCCTTGATGATTCATACCCAGATCATACTTCCATATCAAACACGCATGAAAATATTTAGAAAAGTAGGCTATCTAATATGGCTCACTCTTCAAACAACTGCTAGATTGCTCCTTAAGGTCAAACTATTATTCAGCATTACTAGCTTGAGGTCCTTACTAAGCTCTGGAAAAAAAATCGAAAAAGAACAAGTCAGGGTTTTTCTTTTTTGAGAACACACTTCTTATAAATAAAGCATCCCAGTGTTAAAATTTTCACCTTATTCCTCTGATCTTGTACCATATGACAGTTATATGATCAAAATGCTGATAGATACAATGTAAGTTTTATCAAATCTACATTAAAAAGAACACTATTTGTGACTATTGAGGCTGTTACTGAAAACAACTTCAAGCATGACTTGGTTTTATTCTATGGTAAATTCACACCGGACATTGTAAGGGGTGGAGAAAGGGTGTGTATTGATGGTGGTTATAACTAAAAATGCATGAATTCAAATAATGTTTAGTAGCAATAGTCTCATTTCTTAATAGCCACACCTTGTAATCTTGAAAATAGATATTTTATTATTGACCTAAAATTGTAATTGATTGCATCGATTCTGTTATGTTGCTAAAATCATTAATTCATTTCAGGTTGCTCTTTCCAATTGTTGGGATCGGATAGTCGCTGGAGTAATGGTGGAAGTTAGAAGCCCTGACTGCAAAACTTGCTGCACGACTACACCTTGCTCTTATTGGATAGCATCAGTTGTTAAAGTGTCTGGTATTGTATTTTTCCATTAATTCAATTTATTAAAAGAATATTTTATGTTATTTGTAAGGTTTTTAAATGTTTTTATTGTAAGTCTTTAATTATTTATTTATTTTTGTAAAGCGTTTTTTTTGTGTAAACTAACTTTTCTTTTTATTATTAATTTTAATCTACCTTTTTAATGTCTAATGATTAATGCTTTGTGCACGGCTGTGTCTTATAACCTAATTTACTCATGTCACTTGTAAGGTTGGTGAATGTATGTATTGTTTATATTAAAAGGTGAAGGCTTAAATATTAGTATTTTAAAACTTTAATCAAGAAAAAATTGTTTCACAGTATTTTTAAAAGGAAGTCTAATTTGGTCTACAAAGCCTAAATAAATTTGAGTAACTGCTGTTGTTCTAATAACATGGTGCTTAGCTTTTGTAAAAAGTGCTTAAAGGTGTTTATTTTTGATTTTCGTTTTTTAAAAGCTCTTAAAGGTGCTTTTTTCATTGGNTTTTTGATTTTCGTTTTTTAAAAGCTCTTAACGGTGCTTTTTTCATTGGGTGTTTTTAAAAAGTGCTTAATTTTTCTTTTTCGAAAAAGAAAAATTTTTTTTCTACCATGTTGATTTTCGCCACCTATTATGCAACAACGTGATTTTCACATTGTTCTATTCAATGTTTTCACAATCCATTTCGGTGTACTGTCGGTCCGTAGCATTTAAAAGCGCTGCTCATTTTTTTGATGAAATGCTTGGTAGTCCGCATGTGTGTCAACTGAGCTGAGTTCGGTGAATTGCATTCTCGTGTGCAACTCTGCTGCATTTTGCAAGATATTCTCAATTTTAGGCTTCATTTTCCTCTGCCTGATATCGAATCGAAAAAGCTCTTTATCTTTTTATAATAGCTAATATAATTAAGAAAAGAGTTCTTTGTCAGAATTTGGTTATTTTATTATGATCATATAAAGTTTTTGAAAATTATTTTGCATTTTGTTAATGTTTATAGTGCTTAAAAATATTTTTTGAGCGCTTAAAAAGTACTTATAAGGTGCTTATTTTTTGTTGAAAGATTTGGCTACACATCCTGAATAAGATTCAAATTTTTTTTGAGTACTTTTTTTTTTAACAATGGTTTTTTAGTTTCTGAATAAATTATGAAAAATGTTTGTTTTGCAGTATTCTATAATAGTATTTTTGAGGAAGCTGACCAACAAAGGAAGTAAAAATTAATTTAACTCAATTTTATATTATTTTTTATTCTTTCCTTAGAAAATATTTATAATGTGATAATGTATCATAATTAATGTTTCATTTGATAAATTAAACAAATTATATTTTCTAAAATAATTCAATATAGTCAGCTACAATTTTTTCTTATCTTTGCAGACTTGTTAAACTCATTATATTTCATTTTGTTTAAGAAAGACCTACTAACATAAGTTTTCATCTTTGATCTCTATTTATTTTTTATAATTTTGTCTTAACCGTTTAAATGCCAATGTTTCAAAAATTAAACATGGGTTTTGAGTTTGAATTTAAAGATCAATTAAAGTTTGAATAATATTAGTTTTCCTGTATTTAAAATTTAAATTAAAGTATTTTTTGCAGTAAGTTCAGTCCAGCTTCCATAATTATTTGAATTTTTATGATTTTTAGAAATTTATATTTAATTATTTTTATAATTAGTGAATTTTTACCCTGCTTGTAATAAATTTACCTAATACCCAATTTTTATAATACAACTACAATACTTTACAAGCTTTTAAAGGAATAATATAACCTTCTAATTGACATAAAATTCAAAATTTTATTTTATAATTTTAAAGCAAAAATCTTAGTTTAATTTCATCCAAGTGTGCATTTCATTCATTTGGTATTATGGTACTTATTCAAGATAAATAATGATGTTATGGAAAAGGGAAAACGAGCTGATTTAGGTTCAACTTGTTTTGACAAGAATTTGCACGTGATTGATAACAGATTGATGGTGACATAATATTTAGAATATAATTTAAGATATACACTCTTTCATTCTTAGTATTTTTCTCTTTTGTGGAAATTCTAACTATTGGAAAAAAAATTCTTTCTACTAAGAGGCCAGTTTCAGGTAGCTGCTATACATTTTTGTGTTATTTGACACTGATAAAGTTAAAAGTGAAGTTCAAAAAGGGTGTTTCAATGTATTTCTAACAAGGGTATCCCATAGATTCTTGATAATAATTTTTCCCATCTGATATTTGTGATATTTTTTACTTAATTCATAAATTTATTACCCTGTGAGTTACAGAAAAGTATGTCCTTTTTTTTTTATTTATCTCATTTACAAATTTTTTTTGCTCTTTGCACCATGTCTAAAGAATGCATAATAATGATAAACCAAACAATGGTCTTATTAGAAACATTTTCTGATTCAGATTTGGAAGATCTAGATATTTGTCAAATTGACCATGATGTGCTAAGAAATTTAATTGATAGGGAAAACATAGATGAAAACAACTCAGAACTTGTTAGGCCATTCTCTGCCTGTAAAATATTGCTTTCAAATGTTATATTAGAGAAAATGCAATGGAAAGTAAAATCCTAGAGTCATGTGCAAATTAAAAAAGTAAAAGCCTATTTATATAGTCAAATAAGAACAGACTATTTGATGAGTCAACAGATTTGAAAAAGTGAGATACAATTTTGAAAAAATTTCATGAATGCATAAATCTTGTTGTATTTTAGATAGAATAACTTTAAAATATATAAAATGACTTTTCAATATATAATCATTTTATGCTTTAAAAAAGGTTTAACTATTAATAGGTTTTACAAAATAATATTTTGCATTTTCATGGACTTCTAAGTGTATAGTATTTTGTTCTGACAGAAGTACTGAAAAACAGATGAAACGATCTTGACAAATCGCCAGTTAAAAAAATTTTTCACTTAATTTTTTTATTTTATTGTCTAAGTAGCGATTTTAACAAATTTGAAATTGTTTGATTTACCCCTTCTTAATTAGACTTGTAAATGGTGGAAAGTTTAATTCATATATAGCATTAAAAAAAACTTTTTTCAATTTAGGCTATTGGGGCCTGTTACGCTATGTAGGTGCAGAGGACTTTACTGTAAGATACAACCACTTACGTGATAAATGGGTTAACCTATGTACGCATCCTCATATTCATCCCATTGGCTGGTGTGCAAAACACAGAAAACCTCTTGTGCCCCCAAAAAGTAAGTAATAAGTTTTTAAATGAAATATAACTAATTTAATTTCAATCTTCTTCAGTCTTTTTTAATCGAGTGCTGATTGAAAGGTTCATGCCTGTTGCTTTTCTAATTTTACTAATTCATATTGTTAGCGGTCGTTTAATGGCAGAAAATTGCCAGTGCAAGATAAGCTATATGGCTAGCTCGTGACAATTTTAATTCTATCTATGATCCCTATAGCAGAATGTGCTTAAAACTGTGGCATACATCTCAGAACTATATCTGTTTGAAACAAAATCATTTATATCCACTTCCCTGCAGCAGAGCAATTAGTGCCCAAGTCGTGATAACTCTTTATGCTATTGAGGTTTTGTTATGTAGGCATATTTACACAGTTTGTTATTTAACTGATAAGTGTTCCTTTCTTTTTTCTTTTTTTTTCTAGCAAAATGAAATTTTTATTGTGTTTCCAACTAGGGAGATATGTTTAATTTTAATAATACTGAATATTTGTTGTTGAACTGCTTGTTTCAGAACATTGTATATAGTTCTACTACTGAGTCTAACCTTTTCTTCTATACTTGCTTTTGATAGTAAATATCTTTCTATTCTTTGTTTGTGTTGTCTTTACATATCTCGGTGAATAAGTCAACTTTTGAAACCCCCCAAATTTTCCAAAACTCAGGGGGTTGACTTATACACAGATAGTAAAATTGGACATTTGTTGATCATGATCTATTGAAGTAAATTGAAATGAATAACTCTGTGTCAAGTTACCCCTTTCAAAACCTATTTTTAATATATTTACATTTTTGCCTTTTCTCTCATAATATTTTTTTTGCAGATAAAGATTTCTTAGAACTTTAATTACATTAGGAAAAAAATTAAGATTAAGAAAATTTGAGATAATTTATTCAAAAGTCTTTCAAAAAATGTAACCCAATGAATTTAAAAAATTTCATAAAGTTACCAAGTTAAAGATTTCTAAACATCATATGTATCTGATAACTTAAATTTCATTAATTCATTTTAGGTCTTGAAAACTTAGTTGACTCTTGGTCAAGTTACTTGTTAAAGAAAATGGTGGGTGCCAAAACAATACCTTCTGATTTCGCTTTTAAGGTAAGTAAAATTCAAAAGGTTCTATCTCTTATATTATGTAATTTTTACTTTCTTTGATTCATTTTTTATCATTCTTTTTATCATTATTTTTTATTCTTTTTGTTTAAAATAAAAATTAGCCTGGTAAATTCTGTGAAAATATACTAAGAGGTAAGCACAAAGGAAATTGAAAGTGTTATATTTGAAAATTTGTCATAATATTTTTTTTTAATTCATAAAACTTTTTTTAAATAATTCTTTCTTTTAATATATGATTTATGTGATGATTATGATTTATCTTATATCATTATTTGATGATATTTTTTCTTAATATTTGATGATATTTTTTCTTAATATTTGACATTATGAATAAAAAAAGAAATCAATGTTTTTGGAAGAAATATTTCAAGGTATATCAGGGTGCGTAGTGTTTGTAAAAAGTACTTAAAGGTGCTTTTTGGGAGATTTCGTTTTTAAAAGCTTTTAAAGGTGCTTTTTTCATCTGGCGTTTTTAAAAAGTGCTTTTTTTTCACAAATAATTTTTTTTTTCCTTCAGTGATATCTGGCGGATCCCCTGCATTTCATGAAAAATGGGGTGTTTGCTACGTAATCATTCACACACATTATACCCACGTTATGACTTGCGCATGCGCGCACACTCGAAATTGAAACTCGAGTGCTCCAATTCGGATAGAGTCAGATCCTTATTAATTGTTTTTCTTTTTTATTTATAATTTTATTCTTGTTTATTTTATTTTACTTCTTACACTTTTTTGATGTATGGGGTAAGGGTACTTTTGTTCTAAGTCAAGTTGAATTCATTCGGTGATGTGGGAAAGTACTGATTGTTTCGATTTACGTCCGTTTCTTTTTGAGTTGTTTTTTTAATGCTAAAACTGTTCATAAAAAGTTTTTGTTTTTCAATTCGCGATCGCAACACTCGNTCAAAGGTGGAACTTAAAAACACAGTTTATTTTATTTGTTTGTAAGGGAGAGCCAGAGAGATACTTTATAAGCTTATGTTCATGATTAATATAAATTTTTTATCAGTAAATAGTTGTTATAATCATAAACTCCAAAAAAAAAAAGAAAAAAAAAAGACATTTGTAAATTTTAATTACTTCTCCCGGTCATCATATTTATGTGTAAAATTTTAAATATATTTTAAGTAAATTAAGAAATATTGAGAAAAAGAAAAAAAAAATTGTTTAAGTTTTTTTCTAATTTTTCAATTCAAACTTTTTTTTTTTACTCAAGAAATTTTCCGGAATTTTGACTTGGGCTCACAATCACCCCTGATTCTGTAAAAATATACTAAGAGGTAAGCAAAAAGGAAATTGAAAGTGTTATATTTTAAAATTTGTCATAATAATTTTTTTTTTAAATCAAGAAACTTTTTTTAAATAATTGTTTCCTTTAATATATGATTTATGTGATGATTATGATTTATCTTACATCATTATTCGATGATATTTTTTCTTAATATTTGACATTATGAATAAAAAAAAGAAATCGAAGTTTTTGAAAGAAATATTTCAAGGTATATATAAAATATGATCTTAATTTTCACTGAAATTTACTTCATTACCTGCAAAAGTCATGGAATTTTTTTTTTCTTTTGAAATTCAGTGGAAACCCTGATTTATTATTGTTTCACTAATAAGTTTTCTAGTCCCCTAATAAATAAGGCCATTGTAGATATATTATACAATAACATAAATAGGCATGAAATACTTACTGAAATCCATAATTTTTCATGTTTTATCATATGCCTCTGCTACTTATTTGTGTATGATTTTTCAAATTTTTGTTGTATTTTTAAAAATGTTTAAAAATAACCACATTGTCAAAAATTTTATTTCATAAACTTAATATATTATGTAAGCATAATAAGTTTATAAGTAAGTACTGGTTCATAGGTTACTAATTAATAAGTTTACTGCTTTTAAAATAATTACCTCAACTATTTTTCAAATGTATTCTTATATTTTTTTCTCTCGTTGGCAATCTCATGCCTAGCATTTTGCACAAGCATAAAAATAAATTTTGATTAGGTTTTACCAATTGTGCTAGCAAGAATTTGCAGATGTCTTTTCCAAAACAGTCCATTGTTTGTGTTTGTTTGATTGTGTGAAGTGTTTTTTTTTAAATGTTTTATAATTTATTGAATTGCAGTTAAGTATAAAAAAAATTAATAGTCTAATATTTTTCAATGTGAATGCCATTTTACAAATATTCCAATTATTTTTAGATTTAATGTCTAGAAATTTAATGCAATTTTTTCCTCCGACAAGCATGTAAGTTGCGTGCACATATATTTTCTTAAAGATGCAATGATGAGGTGTTATTATGACAAAATAATTAATATTTGTATTAAAATTGATTGCTCTTTAATATAACAGGGTTCATAGTGTTTTTAAAAAGTGCTTAAAGGTGCATATTTTTGATTTTCATTTTTTAAAAGCCCTTAAAAGTGCTTATTTCATTGGGTGTTTTTAAAAGTGCTTAATTTATCCTTTACCTTGTTGATTTTCGCCACATATTATACAAAAAGACACTGTTCATATTGTTCTATTCGACATTTTCGCAATTAATTCAATCCCAATCTATTTCTGCGTACCGTCGGTCCTTAGCATATGAAAACGCCATTCGTTTTATGATTCAAAATTTCATGGTTTTTGACAATGGTCAAAAACTATGCCAAAAGTTTTTTTTTTTTTTGACCTGATGGTTAAATTTGTGTAAAACCGTCAATTGTCAAAAACTTGCCAACCCTGCCTAATTATATTTTTTTATAAGTGCTTTAAAATATTTTTGAGTGCTTGAAAAGTGCTTAAAAGGTACTTATTTTTTGTTGAAAAATTTGGCTACGCAGTGTTTCCCACGTAAAATTATAAAAATAATTTTTCCCTCTTTTTTTTTACATTTAGATTGAAGAAAACATGCATAATACTCTTAAAAAAGGAATGAAGTTGGAAGTTGTTGATAAAAATTTGATATCTGCTGTTAGGTCTGCTGAAGTGACCGAAGTAGTGGGTGGAAGATTACATGTTAAATATACAGAAAGTGATAATCTTGATGAAGGATTTTGGTGCCATGAACGATCTCCTTTAATACATCCTGTTGGCTGGGCCCAAATCATTGGTCATGACTTGAAAGCTCGACCAGGTCAGTAATTGTTTCCTTCATTTGGCATTTTTGGTAAAATTCTTTGATTAAAAAATAGTACTTTATTCTAATACTATAAAACTGGAAAAAATAGCTAATTACGGTAATCTATCCTTAAATTGTAAATAAATTATTTTTTCTTGAGTTATCTCTACTCTCTAATGAATAATATTACTGAATTATTATAAAGTTTTATGTAAAACAAATATAAATAAATAATTATTACAAATTGAATATTTAAGTTGAAGAAAAATTTTAGGAATCTAGTCTTTGGAACCAAATTTAAATGCACTGCTCAAAACAATGAGTAGATATTGAGGTTGTGGGTTGATCTTGCACCTGGAAAATTGTTTGAATGATTGATACATTATTGACAGTCATAGTAGGCTATATAAGATAAGAATGACATTTGTTTGGCAGGAAAAAAAATTTGTTTTATTGAGCAGAGTACAAAAGGAAAAAAACACAATTTGTGCATCTGAGGAAAACAAATAAAAAAAAGTTTTTTCTTATAAAAGAAAATCGTTTTTAGTAGGGGTATGGTTTCCCCGGACTGTCAGCAACATTGAACACCTTAGAGGCATCGAGTCAATGAGGGGCTTAGGTATTCTGTCCCACTCTTCCAGAAGAGCTCTTTCCAGTTCTTAGAGAGTTTTTGGGTGTGGTAGGCTTCGAGCAATTCGTCTTCCTAGAATGTCCCAAACATGCTCGATTGAGACCATGTCTGGAGAACACACTGGCCAATCCATTCGTATGATTCTGTCCTTCGAAAGGAAATCATTCACCAAGTTAGCACGATGTGGCCTGCTATTGTCATCCATTAGCATGAAGTCATCTCCAATTGCTGCAGCGTAAGGGACTACAATAGGTCTCAGGATCTCATCCCTATTTCAACGAGCGGTCAGAGCTCCATTTCAAATGGTGTGGACATTGGTGCATCCATCAATGGCTATGCCAGCACAGACCATTACTCCCCCACAGCCAAATATTACACTTTCATGAAGAATGCAGGATTGTTTCTAGTGGGTTCTTTCTATCAGGATGAACAGGAAAACGGGACTCATCAGAGAAAAGAATATTACGCTATTTATTTCTCCTGCTGTTAATATTCTCTGTTGGCCCACTCCCTGCGGACGTGATGGTGCCTTGCTGTTAACATGACACACACCATTGGTCGTCGAGCATACAGCATTCGTGAAGGTGTTTCGGACAGTTTTAGTCACAGCTGTGGTGTCAGTAGCCAAACGATGGTGTTGTTGAAGATGAGTGGCATTCATATTTCGGTGTCTTCATTAATAACGTTGGCATTAAATAACAATCTTCTTTGGGCATTGTTGCATGTTTAGGATCTTGGCCTGTTCTTCGGCATGCATTTCCTGTCTCAAAAAATGGTTTCAGTTCCTGGAAATCACACTTTGTGAAACTCCAATGGCTTCTATTACTTTGGCTTGTGTTGGGCCCCCCTCTAACCAGAACAACTTTTTAAGCTTCTGATTCGGTTAAATGACTTCTTTGAAACATCACACTCATCAAAACAACACACTTACTGAATGCCGATCATTCTTTTCTGCTTTGCCTTAAGTTTAAAACCAGATCAAATTTGCTGCCTCTAAAGCGTTAATTTCGACGTCAAACTCTAAATTTGCATACTGCAAAGATTGAAAAATTTGCATTTGTGACTATCTTCTTCCTTTTATGAAGAAAAAAAAAATGCTCGTACCGTTATTTTATGCAAGACTTACAATATCTTTTAATTGTTTTGAGCAGTGTATAATAATAAAAGCAATATTAATTTTGAAATCTTTTAATTAAGGATAACTATTAATGTCTATGTAACAATCTGTTTACCATCAAAAAATTAATTATTCTACAGCAATCATGGTAATTGGAGAGCAGAGTTCTTTTATATAAACAATTTAATATAATGTGTGAGCTTCTAAGCTGAAATTTTATGTTTTATTTTATTTATTTATTGTAATGCAAATTACTATTCTGTTNAAATGGGGAAATTTAACATTAGTTTAATATAAAATGATTTGGTTCCATTAAATTTTATTCGTATAAGCGGGTTATTCGATTATCCAAGGGGCGATTAAGTGGGGACGACTGTACTTCATTCTAATACTATAAAACTGGAAAAAATACCTAATTACAGTAATCTATCCTTAAATGGTAAATAAATTATTTTACCTTGAGTTATATCTACTCTCTAATGAATAATATTACTGAATTATTATAAAGTTTTATGCAAAACATATATAAATAATTATTACAAATTGAATTTTTAAATTACAGTAGGGAACCGATTATCCAGAAAGATCGGGACCATCGCTATTCCGGATAACTGATTTTTCCGGTTTTCTGAATCGCTACAAAAAGCCGTTTTTTTTATTGTTAAACCCAACTAAAAAGAAAAAACATTAGGAAATAATCTTAAAAAGAAGAAAAAACGATGAAGTAATACAGTAATGATTATTTCTAAAATGATGGTATGGTAAACATTTTTCAAAAAAGAAAGAAAAATCCTAAAATCTTATGAGGAAAATTTTTTTTTTTTTAAATGGCGGGAAAATGTACCGAATTTCGTTCTGGTTTTTTGGTTTTCCGGTTTTCTGATTTCCGGATAACGGGTTCTGTACTGTATTACAAATTGAATATTTAAGTTGAAAAAAGTTTTTAGGAATAAGTTTAGTCTTTGGAACCATATCTAAATACACTGCTCAAAACAATTAATATATATTGAGATTGTGGGTTGATCTTTCACCTGGAGAATTGTTTGAATGATTGATACATTATCGACAGACATAGTTGGCTATATAAGATAAGAATGACAATTGTTTGGCTGGAAAAAAATGTATTTTATTGAGCATTTTAGTACAAAAGGGGAAAAAACACAATTTGTGCATGTGGGGAAAGGAAATAAAAAAAAAGTTTTTTCTTGAAGGAAAATCATTTTTAGTAGGGGTATGGTTTCCCCGAACTGTCAGCAATGTTGAACACCTTTGAGGCATCGAGTCAATGAGGTTATTAATGAGGGGCTAAGGTATTCTGTCCCACTCCTCGAGAAGAGCTCTTTCCAGTTCTTCGAGAGTTTTTGGGTGTGGTAAGCTTCCAGCAATTCGTCTTCCTAGAATGTCCCAAACATGCTCGATTGAGACCATGTCTGGAGAGCACACTGGCCAATCCATTCGTATGATTCCGTCCTTCAAAAGGAAATCATTCACCAAGTTAGCACGATGTGGCCTGCTATTGTCATCCATTAACATGAAGTCATCTCCAATTGATGCAGCATAAGGGACTACAATAGGTCTCAGGATCGCATCCCTATGTCAACAACCGGTTAGAGCTCCATTTCGAATGGTGTCGACATTAGTGCACCCATCAATGGCAATGCCAGCATAGACCATTTCTCCCCCACTGGAAAATATTACACATTCATGAAGAATGCAGGATTGTTTCTAGTGTCACATTTCCCTCCAGATGAAAATGCACTGATTGTCAGGATGAACAGAAAAACAGGACTCGTCAGAGAAAAGAATATTGCGCTATTTATTTCTCCTGCTGTTAATATTCTCTGTTGGCCCACTCCCTGCAGACGTGACGGTGCCTTGCTGTTAACATGCCACACGCCATTGGTTGTCGAGCATACAGCATTCGTGAAGGTGTTTCGGACAGTTTTTGTCACAGCTGTGGTGCCAGTAGCCGAATGAAGGTGTTGTTGAAGAAGAGTGGCATTCATATTTCGGTGTCTTCATTAATAACGTTGGCATTAAATAACGATCTTCATTGGGCATTGTTGCACGTTTAGGCCCTTGGCCTGTTCTTCGGCATGCATTTTCTGTCTCAAAAAACGGTTTCAGTTCCTGGAAATCGCACTTTGTGAAACTCCAATGGCTTCTATTACTTTGACTTGTGTTAGGCCCCCCTCTAACCAGAACAACTCTTCAAGCTTCTGATTCGGTTAAATGACTTCTTTGAAACATCACACTCATCAAAACAACGCTCTTACTGAATGTCGATCATTCTTTTCTACTTTGCCTTACCTTAAGTTTAAAGCCAGATTAAATTTGCTGCCTCTAAAGCGCTATTTTTGACGTCAAACTCTAAATTTGCATACTGCAAAGATTGAAAAATTTGCATTTGTGACTATCTTCTTCCTTTTATGCAAAAAAAAAAATAATAAAATGCTCATACCATTATTTTATGCAAGGCTTACAATGTCTATTAATTGTTTTGAGCAGTGTATAATAATAAAAGCATTATTAATTTTGAAATCTTTTAAATAAGGATAACTATTAATGTCTATGTAACAATCTGTTGACCATCAAAAAATTTATTATTCTACAGCAATCATGGTAATTGGAGAGCAGAGTTCTTTTATATAAACAATTTAATACAGTACAGAACCCGTTATCCGGAAATCGGAAAACCAAAAAACCGGAACAAAATTCGATACATTTTCCCACCACTTTAAAAAAAAAAAATTTTTTTTCCTCATTAGATTTTAGGATTTTTTTTTCTTTTTTTAAAGATGTTTACCTTACCATCATTTTGGAAATAATTATTAGTGTATTACTTCATTGTTTTTTCTGCTTTTTAAGATTATTTCCAATTTTTTTTCTTAGTTGGGTTTAACAATAAAAAAATGGCTTTTCGTAGCGATTCAGAAAACCGGAAAAATAAGTTGTCCGGAATAGCGATGGTCCCGATCATTCCGAATAATCGGTTCCCTACTCTATAATGTGTGAGCTTCTAAGCTGAAATTTTATGTTTTATTTTATTTATTTATTGTAATGCAAATTACTATTCTGTTATTATTATTTAGATTTCATATTTATTTTCAGAATATGCCCGAAAATCACTAAAGAAAACCTTGTATCGCACTTTTAAACCTGACGATGCTACCTGGGATATGTTTCTCCCGGTAATATAAATTCTTAATGTGCATATTCACATTGTACATTGTGTCCGGACATTGTTTAATTGCCTTCTTTAATTCTATTAGGTGTACAATCCATCCAAAAAGTTATACTTCAAAAAGGGAATGAAATTAGAAGCCATTGATCCATTAAATCTTTCTACCATTTGTGTGGCAACAGTTACTAAAGTTTTGAGGAACAACTATTTGATGATTGGTATTGATGGAATGATGGCTGCTAATGGATCTGACTGTTTTTGTTATCATGCATCTTCACCTAGTATTTTTCCTGTTGGATTCTGTGAGTCGAATGAAATAGAACTTACTCCTCCAAGAGGTAAATTGTTCTAGAAAAAACATTTATTTCAAAATGGAAACGCTTATTTTGATTTAAATAATTTAAGAAGAAATTTTTTTGTTTTGTCCTATTGATAGTGAATTCTGGGTTGAATGACCATCTTAAATGTAAAGGTTGAGAGTATTATGAAAAAATCTTGATAATGATTATTATTTATGTATATAAAAAAAAGCATTTTGAAAGTCATAGTAATGATACTTAAGAATATTTATTAGATCATTCTATGGTATAAATATTTTAAAAGGGAAAGTAATAATACTTAATTTAATAGATTGTTCATTGGTCCCAATAAAAATCAGTAACTAGTCTATTAATGTTGTGGCTTATCTTGCAAATGCCTGACGAAGTCAGACAGGGTCCATCAGACCGTTGACCCTAAGGAAATCGAGAACCAGAAGGGGGATGAATATATGTCCTCTCTGAAAAGTCACAAACAGTCTAGAATGTGTTTGGGAGAAACCTGCTCAGTTTGACATTTGGAACAGACCTCGTAGGTTCTCCTGCCTTAAAAAACAAGAGAATTTTTGTGTGACTGCTTACTAATCTGTCTTGCTAAATTGCTTATAACCTCCTGATTGTGTTCCTGCTTTGTCGGGGCGGTGAAGCTTGCTTGTACCAATGACCTGGAGGGCTATGCCAGCGGTAACTTGCTACCGTTTGGGTCTCCCAAGTCAGACATGCCGAAGGGTAGGTGCCAGATAAAAAAGAACACCAACATGAGCCAAGACAGACTTCTACCAATATGGTGCTCGGATCCCGGGATCTACAGAAGCTGCATCTCATTTCCTCCTTATGACTTTGTTGATTATTGTATTATAAATCTAGGAGGGGCTACAAAATGCATGAACTGAGTGCATTGCATCCCTACCAATAGTCCAGTAGTTTCACACCCTCTAATTTTCTCTGTTTTGCATTGCTTTAGCTCCTTTTTGTTAAATTTAATGCTTAACGTCATATTTCTTAAATCTACTGTGTGAATTTAAAATGAGTCTCACCCTGTTGGTTTAAGAGAAACATGTTGTGAGTGCGAGAAACTGTGTAAACCTCAGTTCAATGCTATTAAAAGCAGGAGAATTCATGTGGAGAGCGGTTAATTAGTGAAGGTGAAAAATTTAAGCTAGTTAGCTTATAAGAAAATATATTTTAACCTTTTTGATTCGGCACTAAGCATATTTATTCCTTTTAGTCTTTCTTCTGTTACACCTATTCTACTGACGGTAAGCAAAAGGTTGAACAAAATATGAAAAAAATATATATATATCTAAGGAATCAACAAAGACATATAAACATATGTATGATGTATGAGTTTTTGCTGTTTTTTATAATGTTAAAGATAATTCAGTTGAGTACTGTACTTCAAGTTAAGAGTTATAAATTTTGGTATAAGAATAAACTCTTTTATAACAGTAAATGAAAAACTTATCCAGAACTTAGAAATTTAACTACTTAATTGAATAAACACATCGTAATTGTATCTATTCCTTTTTAATATGATACTCTACAATGTTGATGCTGATAAAGCAAAACAATTATTACTGGCAAAAAAAGTAGTTGCATACCTCCCAAAGATGCTGTACTGTAATGCTGACATTCAACCCTGCAAAGTCTATTAAGCAGGAAATAGAAGGAATGTTCCCTTCTTTGTTGTAGGTATAGGGCCAATTTAGTAGCCGCTTTCTTAACTGTAACCATGTTTTAACAAAATTTTAAACCTATTAACATTAATAATGTAAGGGATTTGTAATAATCTATTAATATTGTAAGGCATTATTTTAATAATGTAAGGTATACTTTTAAAGCATTTTTCAAAATATAGTTAACATTACAAGGTTCATTTCTAAAATAAAGAAAAGTTTTCAGAAACAAGTGTGAACTAGTATAGTGTTTCTCAGAATATTATCAAATATTCATAAAAATTCCATATGAATTAAAAAAATTATTATTAATAAGATGCATTTTTGGCGAAAAAAGTGGCGATTGGTGGGCAACTAGCAGCTTATTTTTTAATTGCCAATTGTTATATTTTGCCCATTTCCTCTATAAAATAGTCATTTTTTAAAAGTGACCTTAAAGGAATAAGCATTGAGAAAGAGAAAGTAATTAGTAAAGAATTGAAATTATGTTAGTCAGAAACTTAATAACAAATATTAGAGTTGATTGTAATATTCATACCATTGGCTTGTCATATAAAAACACATGCTGTAGGAATACAAACTATGACCACAATTTAAGATTCCCAAGTATTCTCTATTGTTTTTTTTTTCTTTTTTCAAAATATTTATTACCTGTAAATATTTATTTATAATTAAAATGTACAAGGAAAACATTTTTGTGTTCTAAATCATATTATTAAAGAATCAAAAATTCTTGTAAGTTCTCCAATTTTTAAAATATTGGTGTACTTTTTTTTTTGTATTATTTTTAATTTTATTTAGGGTACAAAGGAGAATTTATATGGTCTGAGTATTTGAAGAAAACTAAATCAGATGCTGCTCCAGTAGAACTCTTTCATAGAGTATGTTAAGTTAATTCCCTTTAAATGTTGCTTTGTTTAATATCATTTCCTTTAATTTCTTATGTGTACTAATGTATATTAACAGCCTTTGCCTAATCATGGTTTCAAAGCTGGAATGTATTTGGAAGCTGTTGATCTCATGGAACCTCGATTGATATGTGTTGCTTATGTGACACAGGTTGTAGGCCGTCTTCTAAGGGTTCATTTTGAAGGTTGGGAAGATGACTATGACCAATGGTGTGACTGTGAGAGCCCAGACTTGTTTCCCATTGGTTGGTGTGAAATTTTAAACTACAAGCTTGAACCCCCTCGGACGGATGGTAAGTTGATTTGTGGATTATTCTGTAAAAAAGTTGCTCGAGTATTAAAAAAAAATATTCCTTCTCTAATTTGGGAATAAAATTTTTCTAATTTTTAAAATTTATTTGTAAAAATGAGTTTTGTGAAAAATACAACAATAATTTATTCAATGTAATTCAATTTCTAAAGATTTAATATTGTAAAAACGAGTCAAATTTTTGACTAACTTACTAGAAGAAAGTCAGGAATTAAAAATATATCATTATTAAAACATTTACTTGTATAAAATTTTATGAATGATTTTATTAGAATTCATTTTATGCAGACAAAAACTATTTTAGTTTCACTAACTTGCTGGATATATATTCATAATTTAAATAGCAATTCTCCATTTATTTATCCATAAATACATTTTAAAGAGCATCATTATTGATCATCTTGTTTGTTTTTATTTTCATTTCTTATTTTTTTTACCCAAAACAAAAAAAAATTGAATTAAATGTTATTGTTGTCAGCATGAACTGTGTAGCTTCATATAGAATGTATACTATGTTTATTATCTTTAATTCTAAACATATGAAAATCTTTAAATGTTACCGACATATTGATTGAAATAAATAAAATAATTATGTGAATATGTTTAAACTTAATATGTTGTACTCTTAAAATTAAATAGGTGATATTTAAATTACTTAAATGAACTACTTAAAATATTACATTATACTGACCATTTCTCCATTCCACAAATTTCTTCTAGGTACTGAAGAAAAAAAGAAAAAGAAGAAGAAAACTTTGACAAAAAAGAGTAAGTACATTTCAATGTTTAAATAAGCATATCTATTTATTTCTAAAATAAAGTATAAAGTTTTTTTGAAACATGTATATATTTCAAAAAGAAAAAAAATCATGTGTTGTTTTGTCACATTATATCATCCTTAAAAAAATACAATACATACATAAATTTCTGCATTTTTTTTCCTTCCAAAAATAGAAAGAACATAATCCTTCGCTGCATGTTTGCCAGGACTTTAATTAAAAATTTTCTTCGTTTTGCATATTTCAGAAAATTTCTTAAAATTGTGCAAGTTCTTCACCAAAATGGATTTTTTTATTCAGATTATTTCTCGTACGAGAATTTTAATAAGTAATATACTACTAAGTGAGCCTCTTTCATACTAATAAGTTTCAAACTGCTTTAAATTTTTACTGAAGCTTGTTAATCATTTCAAGAATATTAATTTTTGTTAATGTCTTTCGATCAATTCCAAAATATTTTTTCAAGATTAATTTATGATTTCCAAAAAGTGACACCTTAAAAATAGAGAAAATAAAAAAAATTTATGTGAAATCTAATTAATATCTATTGCAAATAAAAAATATTTCAGGCATATCAAATTTGTGATTCATTGATATTTATAAGATTTTGTGTAATATTTTTCTATGTACAGATTAAAAAATTCATTATATGGGGAATATTTTATGCAGGGTGTCCCTTAAATATTAGTGCAAACTTTAAAGGAAGGTTGGGATTCTAAGGATTGAGAATTAGTCAACAACCAATATCCAGAAATGTTGAGGTATGCTGCTAGAGGTGCTTCCCTGTGGGGGACTTTCTGTTCGTGTGCCTGTGCATTCATTTATCTAAATTAAATTAAGTTTATGTTTCCTAATTGTCAAGAAATTGCATTCAAATAATCTCTGAAACAGCTGTTTCATATCAAATCATTAAATAAGGATATCATTTAATGATTTGATTAATATTGTAATTTAATCATAAACCATCAAGTTAGTTGCCAATATAATTATTGGCATTAAAAATCAAAAAGATAATAGTATTTCGATAGTAGTCAATCCCTTGTCAAAAAAACAAAAAAAAAAAAAAAAAACACTGGAAANAAAAAAAAAAAAAAAAAAAAAAAAAAAAAAAAAAAAAAAAAAACACTGGTAATTGTTTGTTTTTTTTGGTGTTCCAAGTCCGATTTCATTGGTCTCAGGACCGAGGGGCAGCTGTTTGTTTCCAACCCTGTGTTGCCAATAATCAATACTGTTCTTAGCTTCTGCCGCATAAAAGTTCATCATTATTGTTTTGCTAGATACTTGATACCTTTTCTGTATTTTTCTCCGTAGTGAATTTCATAATTTTTTCTTCATCTATTGTAGAGAGGAGAAAATTTCGATCTAAAAAAAGTGCTGATGACTCTCCGCCTATGCCTAAGTTAAAACAGCTTGAAACTCCTCCTGAAATTGTAAAAAGTAAGTTTTTATATGGTCAAAAATAATATCCTACAATGACCCAACTGTTTGAAATAGCATTTACACTACACCAAACATACATTGGTATAAAATCGATGAAATTTTTTCAAGCATTGACATAAGCATAAAGAAAAGCAATTTAATGCTCTTTCATTACTCTTTATTTTAAGTTAATTTTGTTTATGTTAAATTCTCTATTGTTGAAAGTTAATTTTTTTTTCTTATACGTTTTACAACTTAGATAATTATAGCTGTTTGCAATTTCAAATTAATAATGAAATGTATATTTATATGGAGGAGAAAATTTTATACAAAAAAAAAATTTATGAACTATTTATTCTAAACTTTGTTCTTCAAAAATGTACACAAAGCAAGACAAATGTAACTTATTAAAAGAGTGAACAAAGAAAGTTTGGATTGTGTACAATCCAAATATAAAAAATAAAAAAGCTACTGGAGTTCGAAAACTGTGATGATTGCCAGAAGGGGGCAGAGTCTTCTAATGGTCTTTTAAAATAAAAAATGTGTATAAAAATAAAGCATAAAATTATGTATGACTGTTAAAGTTATCTATGTCAATTATTTGAATTTTTTTTATAGTGTTCTAAAGGAAAATTAATTTTTCAATGTGTATTATTTAAATAAAATACATATTTTTTCAATAACTTATGTTTTTTTTTTTAAACCTTTATTAAGGACCTTCAAGAAGTGCAAGACCCTTAATTAATCTGGAAGAATATACTTCAGAATCTGATGAGTAGTTTGTAGCTGCCAAGGTTGAAAAGGTAACATTTAAATATTTTTTGACATCTTTCTTCTTAATTCTTTGAGTTACAATACTCGTTTTCTTCATATTTTCATCTTAAACATTTTAGTGAAAATTTTTACTCTTTCATGGACATTTATTAAGGTAAAGTGTTAAATGCCCTAAATTCCACATAGATCGAAACTTGAAAATTTTTTAATCTAAAAATATTTTATTTCTAATATGTTTATTTAAAACAGAATTTCAAAACATGGGCGAAGCTTACTTATATTTTTGTGAAAAAAAACATACAACTATAAACTACACTGGTTTGTTTGTTACCCTGTTCAATAGAACATTTAAAATAGGTTAGACACAATTGTTCCAAATGAAATATGATACAAGATGTGACTCTAAAAGAACTTAAATATCTTTTGTTTTCTTTCATAAATATCAATATATTGTTAATCAAAGCAGTGCTACAAATTATTTTAGAAACAGTTTTGTGGTTTTCTGTTAGTTGAGACTAAGGGGAGGAACTGTCTCAAATTGGTTNTATATATATATATATATATATATCTTGGATTTCCTCTTTTTTACTTTCTGACTACTCTCATCCCTGTAGTACAAACTTTAAAGGAAGGTAGGGATTTTAAGGATTGAGAATTAGTCAACAACTAATATCCAGAAATGTTGAGGTATGATGCTAGAGGTGCTTCCCTGTGGTGAACTTTCTGTTTGTGTGCCTGTGCATTGGTGCATTTATTTATCTAAATTACCTTAAGTTTACGTTTCCTAATTGTCAAGAAATTGCATTCAAATAATCTCAGAAACAGCTGTTTCATCTTAATTTACGATATCAATCAAATCATCAAATAAGGATATCATTCTTAATTTAATGATTTGATTAATATTGTAATTTAATCATAAACTCTCAAGTTAGTTGCCAAAATAATTATTGTCGTTGAAAATCAAGAAGATAGTAGTATTTCAATAGTAATCCATCACTGGTACAAAAAAAAATATTGGTAATTGTTTTTTGGTGTTCCAAGTCAGATATTATTGGTGTCAGGACCGAGGGGCAGCTCTTGGTTTCTAACCTTGTGTTACCAATAATCAATACTGTTCTTAGCTTCTGTCACATAGAAGTTCATCATTATTGTTTCGCTAGTTACTTGATACCTTTTCTATATTTTTCTCCGTAATGCATTTCTTAATTTTTTTCTTAATCTATTGTAGAGAGGAGAAAATTTCGATCTAAAAAAAGTGCTGATGACTCTCCACCTATGCCTAAGTTAAAACAGCTTGAAACTCCTCCTGAAATTGTAAAAAGTAAGTTTTTATATGGTCAAAAATAATATCCTACAATGACCTAACTGTTTGAAATAGCATTTATACTACACCAAAGGTAAATTGGGATAAAATCGGTGAAATTTTTTCAAGCACTGACATAAGCATAAAGAAAAGCAGTTAAATGCTCTTTCATTACTCTTTATTTTTAAGTTAATTTTGTTGATGTTAAATTCTTTCAGTAACTTATGTTTTTTTTTTTTAAACCTTTATTAAGGACCTTCAAGAAGTGCAAGACCCTTAATTAATCTGGAAGAATATACTTCAGAATCTGATGAGTAGTTTGTAGCTTCCAAGGTTGAAAAGGTAACATTTAAATATTTTTTGACATCTTTCTTCTTAATTCTTTGAGTTATAATACTCGTTACTTAATACTCGTTTTCTTGATATTTTTATCTTAAACATTTTAGTAAATATTTTTACTCTTTCATGGACATTTATTAAGGTAAAGTGTTAAATGCCCTAAATTCCACATAGATCGAAGCTAGAAAAAATTTTAATATAAAAATATTTTATAAATTTCAAAACATGGGCGAAGCTTACTTAAATTTTTGTTAAAGAAACATACAACTATGAGCTACACTGGTTTGTTTGTTACCCTGTTCAATAGAACATTTGAAATAGGTTAGACACAATTGTTCCAAATGAAATATGATACAAGATGTGACTCTAAAAGAACTTAAATATCTTTTGTTTTCTTTCATAAATTTCAATATATTGTTAATCAAAGCAGTGCTACAAATTATTTTAGAAACAGTTTTGTGGTTTTCTGTTAGTTGAGACTAAGGGGAGGAACTGTCTCAAATTGGTTTCTTTTGAGCCCTGTGGCGGAATTTTTTTAGGCTTTCTGCAACAAAACTCTCTATCACTAATCTCTTTCTACAAGATACTTTCAATAATAACAAAGATGTATGTTATTAATTTAAAATAACAAAACTCTGTTTACAAAGACATATATATATATATAAATTTCTTTAATTGAATGTGTAATATTTTTTTGTATTGTAATTTTATGGGTGATAATCTCGTATTTAGCTGGGGGGGAGTCCCTTCCCTATTTCCTTCATCGTATTTTGTGAGTCATCATCACATTAAAAATATTAGTAATTAACATTAATTATCGAAAAACAGATGAAATTACGTGTATCAGACTCTTCATATAGTGGTTACTCAAATGCCTGTTTCTTTTCAAGGCTTGATTGTTGTAATCAATAATATTGTATAAACAATATCAGATTTTAAAAATTGAAAATCAGAAGCAATAACTGCCAAAAAAATCAATAGAATCATTGCCTTGGAAAGTAAATACACAAATGGGCGTTTCGAATTTACCATATCGTCTTTGAAATATATCGCGATATTTAAAAATATTATCTTGCTAGTAAAAAAAATCCTGTTGATGTTAAACTTTTAAAAATGAGCCTAAATTAGACTGTCACTATCAGCAAGATGAAGTCAGTCTTAAAAGGAGTTAGAGATAATTGAAAAAAAAAAAGTTTGTTGCATTAATCTGACTTTATACCATTTTCTATGTTTGTCCAAGAGTCTAGCTACACTATTGCCTAGCACTTTCCAACTATATAATTATATTTAGTTTATTAAATTTAAAGTTATAAATATATCATACTATATTAAAACTTTTTTTTACAGTGCTTTATAATGTTTCATCTTCTCATGTTCAGCTGAATATCTCATTTATGTTTAAGCATCTTCAATTGTAAATATGTGTTTTACTGTACATTTTAATAAATTATGAAAAACTTTTTTAAGATGTAAATAAGAAAAGTTTTAAATAAAATGTATATTGTTGTAAGTTTCTGTTCAATGCATGCATCAAAATTTATGAAATATATTTGAATTGCTCACGGCAATCCAACTAGCCCAATGTACACTAACTTTACAGAATGACATAAACTTAATATTTTCAAGACTTCTATTATCAATAAATTTTTTTTATGCAAGATGAAAAATCAATCCCAGAAAATTGGGGCGCTTTGCCTTTTGTTGGATGTTCCACTTTGAAAACCTCAGACGTTGTGAACCTTTTCTAATTACTATTGGATTAAAATGTAAAGAGTCTGAGTTTTTAATGAAAAGGAAATATAAAGTTAGGACATTTTATTTGAGTTACCTTTTAGGCAGTTTTATGGCATATTATGAGTCTTGTAATATGCAAAAAAAAAGCTGTAAATAAAAATTAGTATTTTATGTAATAATTAAAATTAAGATAAGTTCAAAAAATTATTTTATTTATGTTTTCTTCTAAGCTAAATTTAAATTAAAAATTACATTTCTTGCCATTATTTAAAACTCTGATCTGTGAAAGAGGGGGGGGGAGACAATAGATCTTGCCAAAATTTCAGTTCCATTTAGTAAATAATTATGTCCAACAAGAACTCTCTCTGTCAAGAAAAGTGGTATTAAAATACTAGTTCGTATTCATAAGAATTCAACTCATCACTCCAGTGTGTGATAGAAAAAAGTGGGTTATTTTTTTTATTTTATCCAAATGCTGAATGCCTTATGTTCACTCCTTTCTATGCATTTACACATCCCCTGCCATGGTCTAACACCTTACCCAGTTTTTCAGTACTATCCCTTAACCACGGTCATGGCAGGAATGCCAGGTAGTTTGAACCTGGTCAGTGTCTGAACTAGAACCCTCTCTTTCTATGTTTCTTCTACCAAACAGGGTATTTTCAGCCACAACAGATTTAAACTACACCTTGCTACTTATATGCGTCTGTTATGTTGTCGGCTGTCAGAATGAACTTGCAAACCCTAGTTCTCCAAGAGCGGTGTGAGTGATTCCTTAACCGACCAGGCCACCAGAGTGCTTTTTTACAGTCTTCCTTTTTTTTATGAATTAATTTTTTTTATTAAAAAAGATACAAAATGAAGTTTATATACAACAAAATTTATTTTTAATACAGAGAAACATTGAAAGTTTATCTTAAACTTCTAACATAGAAATGTATTTTTACATCAAACTTTCAATAGTTTTTGTTAATGAAAATACAATCATAAAACTACTGAAACTCTCTTTGGAGAAATGATAAAATCAATGAACTTTAAAATTTGTCATCAACTTGAACTTCATCTCATGGCATGAAAAAATTCTTAAAATATATTGTAAATATCTATAATACAAATTTCTAAAACTTTCAACATTCATATAACAAGCATAACTTCAGAAAAAATATATCTTTATTATGAATATAGAGTGCACAAAAAAAAAAACAACCACCTTGAAAAACTCATTCCTTGAAAAACATTCTAGAACACAATCTTAATGGCTTGGGTGAGTGATGACAAATATGCTTATTAATTAGTGCAGACAATATTTTAAGTTACAAATCAGTAGTTTGGTTGGGAGAGCACTCCAAAGTTTGGACTCCTTAATATTAATTTTACTTTTAGCATATTTCGCTATATCTTGAGAAATTTTTAAGCAATTTTTACATACAATTATAAAACTCATTTATCCAAAGATAATTACACTCAAAAATTAACTTTTGGTAAATATTTATTATTTTGTTTAAGAATGGTAAAAAAAAAAAATTGAATTGTAAGGTACAAAATCATTTTAAAGCATACAATTTTGTATGAAAAAATAAAAATATTGAGCCAAATCAGTCTTGGTTCCTGGGAAATTCAATTTCTCAGCAACTATTTGATCGATTTTACATTTTGTATATTCTTTAAAATGCTGCAAAATATTGATAAACATTTACAAAAAGAAATTTTTTTCATTAAATTATCTTTAGATAAATGAATTTTATAGTTGTGTGTAAAAAAAATTCAGTTCGCTTCAAAGGCTCTCAAGATATAGCGAAATACGTAAAAAGGTAAAATTAACATTAAGGGATCCAAACTTTGCAGCGCTCTCCTGACCTACCTACTAGAATCCTATTTCCCAGATTTCAGCTACCCCCTATATATTAGGGGTCAGAAATTTGAATTCGTCGGGGGGGAGGTTATCTTTATTCAGATAAAGTACTTTTTTTCTAATTTCTTAACTTAGATATTGTTCGCACTTATTAATTAGCATATTTGAGATTGAGTCCTAGAATGTGAAATCCAATCATTAGATAAAAAGTTATTCAGGGTGGTTAGTTTGGTTTTTTTGGCGCACTGTACACGAGTTTGATAATAGCTTAAAAACATCATCTAAAATACACTGACTAGGATTACAATGCTCTATTGTATTTGTATGCAATAAAATCAATTTTTCAGGAATCTAATCAGAAACTTTTATTTTAAAAGAAGGAAAAAATAAGCTTGAATATTCTTTGAAAAAAGCAATTAGCTATTTATGTTAAAAAATTAAACACATTTAAACATGAATCTTATTCATATAAATATTTCAGAAGAAAAAAAAGTTTGTTTTTTTAAGCCTACATATCATGAAAGAAAGATTACACCACTATATAAGACCTTATATTAGTAAATCAGGTGAAAGAAAATTCTAACAAATAAGTTGTGTAGAAATATTTTTTGATCAGATCTCAGTTGTAGTTTATTCAATCATTATTTGTTACACTTTCACTTAGAATTCTGCACAATTGTACTCAATCATGCTTATATATATCAACCAGTTTGATTGCTAAACACTAACATTCTATGAATCTTAATAATGCTAGAAATAGAGTTTTGATTAAGTATTAAAATATTTAAATATTGTTCTATTTCGCATTCATTAACTATTACACAAATGCTTTCACACAATGGTATTTTGCAATGCAGATTTAGTCTCCAATTTACCATTGCAGTCAGTAATGGTGTTGATCACATATTCTTTTTCATGCATTGAAGTGAAATGAGATTTATAACGCTGCCTTATCTCTGAATCTGCTGGTCCCCAATCAGCATGAGGCTTGAATGCTTTTTTCCAATCCTAAAGAAAAATTCTTAAAAACATTAGACTGAATTTTTTTTAATATTTTTTCTTATTTTTTATTTAAAGGCTTTATATAATGCGTGCATCATGCGGCAATATTTTACGAAGGTATGTTTGTATTAATATAATTTGACATATCAATTTAAAACATACATTTTTAGCTTTTAGGAGCTTAGTTGTAAACATATAACCAAATAATAAATTAGAAATATAAAATATTTAATGTTATAATTGTGAATTTATGCATCTCTTTTTACTTATTATTTATATGTCTCTTTATTTGCTGCAAATTGCATTTACAATGAGATACAAATAAAAAATTAGGTATTAAGAATTAACTTATTTACAAATGTAAACAGTGCAATAAAAGATTTTTAATAAGATATACATACTACACATTTAAAACATTTTAATTTAAAAAAAGGTTTATTAAGAACGTTTCAGTATGCTCCTATCAAAATATATATATATTTTTTTATGGATAATGTTCTTTGAATAGAGTAATATAATTAAGAATAATTATTTTAATCATAAGTGTAAATATATTTAAATCTTACCTTTCTATGCTTAAAAAGCTGTATTCCTGCCCATATGGGTATTTGTAAAACTGATATAAGATATAGACACCATCCAATTCTGTCGCCCCAAAGCGGATAAGGTATGCCACCATATTCAATAAGTTTGTGTGTGCACATACTATAAATTACAATAAACTGAAAAATAAATAAGTTATTTCAGTTGCCTAAACACTTAATCTTAAGTAATGTTATGCAAAAGGTATATAATATATCTATATAGCATCTTATACTTTTATTTTCTATAACTGTAGCGCTGACTATAGATGCTATATTTAATAATACTTCATGAAGTTATTGTGATAATATCTCACACATATTAAAATAGTATTTATTTTTATAACTATTTAGTATGAATTTTTTTTTAATGCTTGGTAATAAACTTTACAAATGTGATAATTGTCCCAAAATACACTTATTTAATGTACATTCCAATCCTGCCCCAATTCTCACTAGCTGTGAACAAAATTTTTATTTTATTGTATTTATCAAAATTTACAATATTGTATTTTTTGAAAATTTTGGTTAATCTGTCCCAAATCATGCATTTATTTTTTTACAAGGCTTAACTAGACTTTTCCAAATCCAAAAAAAGTTTTGCAAAGGATGAAAATATTAGGGGGACTGGAAAGTTATGTCATTTCCATGCATTAAATGTTCGTTAGTCTTCATTTTTTCCGATGAGTTTGATTAATTTTCGATCTGGCATTGAAAGGTTTTTGTTAACGAAGGTGAATACATTATTGATTAAAAATAAAATCTTGATAACAAATATCAAAACGACAAATCAGTTATGTACCGAAACGACATAACTTTTTGGTCTCCCTAATAGATTTATTTATATAATTTCTAAATGGTTTATGAAGAAATTATTTTTTTAATTACAATTCCTAGGGGAGTAAAATTATTCTTTTGAACAAAAAGTATATAATTTTCAGTTACCACTCCAAATAGCTCTAAAACTAGCTCATTTGAATTATTTTTATCACCCTTAATATTAAATAAAGGGTAGACTTAAAAAAATATTCCCTTTAGTTAATTAACCTACATATATTATTTTATTAAACATCAACTGCACACTATGTTTCATGGTTACCGTTGCAAGTTTGTTGTAACGGAAATTTCCACAGTTTTTTGTGAATGTTCATGTTTTATTTGAAAATAAATAATATTATCTTTTTTCATTAGCTGGTGGCTGGAAAATACAGAGTCCTGAAGTTTTATTTAATTTGAGTATATATTTCTTCTTCTTTGTAATTTAACTCCTTTATTTAAATACCATACATTTTCTAATTATGCTAATAGCATTAAAATAAATTTTTAAGAATTTGTAATCACAGTAACTCAACTAATCTTCAATAAGTAAACGAAATCCTTTGTTTTATGTAGGGTCATGGCTTACTATAAGCAAAGTCACTAAATAGTAGTTTACTATAAGGAATATTTCTAGATCGTTGCTTAGTTTATTTTGGCTTACTAGAAGCAATATCTCTATATCATGACTTACTCAGCTGTGGCTTACTATAAGCAGTAAGGGTTTACGACTGCTAATGTTCAACTCCTTAGCCTTGTAATTTTGAATCCAATCCAGAAGACAAAGGAACTCTTGGATCAAGTATTGGGAGAAATTTGCCTTTGTTGAGGACTTTTTGATGGAACTAACCAGTCAGTGGAGGCCAGATGCGGAATTCNGTACATTCCAATCCTGCCCCAATTCTCACTAGCTGTGAACAAAATTTTTATTTTATTGTATTTATCAAAATTTACAATATTGTATTTTTTGAAAATTTTGGTTAATCTGTCCCAAATCATGCATTTATTTTTTTACAAGGCTTAACTAGACTTTTCCAAATCCAAAAAAAGTTTTGCAAAGGATGAAAATATTAGGGGGACTGGAAAGTTATGTCATTTCCATGCATTAAATGTTCGTTAGTCTTCATTTTTTCCGATGAGTTTGATTAATTTTCGATCTGGCATTGAAAGGTTTTTGTTAACGAAGGTGAATACATTATTGATTAAAAATAAAATCTTGATAACAAATATCAAAACGACAAATCAGTTATGTACCGAAACGACATAACTTTTTGGTCTCCCTAATAGATTTATTTATATAATTTCTAAATGGTTTATGAAGAAATTATTTTTTTAATTACAATTCCTAGGGGAGTAAAATTATTCTTTTGAACAAAAAGTATATAATTTTCAGTTACCACTCCAAATAGCTCTAAAACTAGCTCATTTGAATTATTTTTATCACCCTTAATATTAAATAAAGGGTAGACTTAAAAAAAATATTCCCTTTAATTAATTAACCTACATATATTATTTTAGTCAATATCAACTTCAATAAGTGCACAATATGTTCCATGGTTAACGTTGCAAGTTTGTTGCAATGACAATTTCCACAATTTTTTGTGAATACTACAATTTGTCAAAATTACCAGTATTAACATGTACATTTTTTATTTGAAAATAAATAATATCTTTTTTGATTAGCTGGTGGCTGGAAAATGCTGAGTCCTTAAGTTTTATTTAATTTGAGTATATATTTCTTCTTAGTATTTTAACTCCTTTAATTAAATACCATGCATTTTCTAATTATACTAATAGCATTAAAATAAATTTTTAAGAATTTGTAATCACAGTAACTCAACTTATCTTAAATAAGTAAACGAAATCCTTTGTCTTATGTAGGGTCATGGCTTACAATAAGCAATGTCACTAAATAGTGGTTTACTATAAGGAATATTTCTAGATTGTTGCTTAGTCTGTTTTGGCTTACTAGAAGTAATATCTCTATATCATGACTTACTCAGCTGCGGCTTACAATAAGCAATATCTCCTTATGGTTTACTATAAGCAGTATCTCCACATAGTGGCTTACCAAAAATTATGTAAAATGAGAGATTTCTTGATGCTTAAACTTTAACACTTATTTGTAACTCATTTATTTATCAGGACTTTTCTGAAGCTTCAAAATTGATAATATATAACTGATAGAATATTTAGCAGAATAGATCAATAGCAAGAAAGTAGTTCAGAGAATAGTCCAAATCCTTTCAAGTAAGGATTCATTTTTTCTCTTGGATTATAAATTTATAAAGATAGCACACCTACCCCAAAGTGTAATAACAATACAAAAAGGTGAAAAAATTTAGTCATCCTCCTGTTAACCAGAAAATTTACTGAAATGGCGGCTTAACACAGTCTATTGCTTAGTGCAATGAAATTTCTATATTCTTTGTGTTGAAAAACCGGTAGAAACACTAGCAAGCAATAATTTGATGAAACAACTCAATTTAATGATTTGTCTTATTGTATTTCTTAGTAGATATGGCAAGACAGTCTGCTTCCATTTAAAAAAAAAAATAATTCTAACCAGAGGCCTTTTATGTTGGTACTTACGTAAAATAAACTGATATATAAAGATTTTTAAAATTTTGTCCACTGTTTCCATTGTTTTTCCTCTTTTTGTGTGATTTTATTTTGTTTTTTATTCAATAACCGTCGTAGAATAGCCGACCCAATTTTTTGGGTTTACGACTGCTAATGTTCAACTCCGTAGCCTTATAATTTTTAATCTAATCCAGACGACAAAGGAACTCCTGGATCAAGTATTGGGAGAAATTTGCCTTTGTTGAGGACTTTTTGATGGAACTAACCCACATTTGCGTTACATGGAAAGAAAAACCTCCCACGGTTAGCCTGATGGCAAAGAGACTAACCCATGATCCATCTACCACTGAGGATATTTTACTTCAGCACTGCGGTCAATGCAGGCCGGATCCGGAATTCATATCGACCAGCCATTGCTGGGATTCGAACCCTGTTCACCTCATTTGAAGGTGAATGCTCTATCCCCTGAGCCATTACGGCTTGATTTTCTGTGTTTGGCAAAAGTCATATTCTTCATGGCATGAAAGTATGGAATTCAGTGCTCTGCCTAGTTTTATTAGTTTTGTATTAAAAATTAAATATTTGTCTAAAAAAGGAAATCAAATGTTTTTCTACCAAGTCCCCTTACTTTTTTAGTCCCATTTTTCACTGTTCTATTTCTCTCTATTTGGTTAGAAAACCTTTTTGGAGCCCTGAAAACAGTATTTGATATGTCTACTGATCAAATTCTGTCCATGTAAATTGTATACAGTTTTTTGCAGACTTAAAATTAAATAGTTATAAAAGGTTTTAAAACTATTTGTAAAAAGAAAAAGGGATGTATTCCATCATGACTCATATTTAGTTTAAATATGATTTATAATTGTACTCACCAACAACACAAAGGGAGAGATGTATTTCCAACATATTCTCCAGTAAATCCCTGGCTTAAAACCTAACATAAAATGTAAATCTTCTGAAAATCTATCTGCACCTAAAAATGTTATAAACATTTTTTAAATTCTTTATTTTCAGACAAATTTGTTTTAGTGATGACAATTAACATACATTTTTGAGATGAATTTTTTGCTTAAAACTTGGCTTTGATTATTGATTATCGATCTATTATTGTTGATTAACTAAGTATAAGCCAGACAAACTATATATTTGACACTAGAAAATGTGCATAAAAAGTACCATTTCTCCCTTCACCCCTCTTCATAACTTTGACTTCGTTATTATTCCATATAATCCCCCATAAAACTGTACATAGTTTTATAAAAATATATATAAAGTAAAACACTGCTTATTCATTTATGCATCTTTTTACATTTATATGTTGTTTCATAGCAGTTCCAGGTTATTTTATTAAAATTGTCCATTTACACAATGGTAAAAACATAAATGATCAGTTATATGCAGTTCCCCCCCCCCTTAAAAAACACATGAATGTTTGGCTTGTATCCAGAAAACTCTAGATAAAGTTCTAAAAAAGAATTTTTTCCCTTGGAAATATTTTGACTTACATGTCTACCTGTATGGAAAGTGCTGTTTACATTTATGTTATCAAAATGTGAATGAAAAGACAGGATTTTTTTTCCAGATGTTTTGTTTTAACTTTTAATTACTACTTCTAATGTTTTTAACAGTAGTGTTAAATTGTTATAAAAATTATTTTTTATGATAAATGACTAATTTTTTTTAATTTTCGGTTATATGTAGATTTACATCTGTCCCCTGTAAGATGTAAGAGTGATGTTTTTTACGTTTACACATTAACACATTGAGAACATAAGCAGGGGTGATTGTGCTTCGGAAAAAATCTGGATTTCCGGATTTTTCGCTAACCGCGATCTGAAAGTTCTCGAAATCCAAAGTCCAGAAGTTTCAAGAAATCATCGATCACATTTATATATAAAAATTCTTTTATATTTTATTCAAAAATAATAGAACTAGAATTTATACTTGGCATCTCTTTCATTTGTAAATATTTTTTCTGGTAGAATAATAAATGTGATTAGAGATAAAAGTAAACTTAGTCACATAATTATTCATTTAAATTATGCTGCATATAATTCATTTAGAATATCATGTTTTGAAAATTTAAATGATTTAAATTTATAAAAATATTAATTTTTTGAAGGATTTTAATGAAGAAATTTTCAGGATNATTTGTAAATATTTTTTCTGGTAGAATAATAAATGTGATTAGAGATAAAAGTAAACTTAATCACATAATTATTCATTTAAATTATGCTGCATATAATTCATTTAGAATATCATGTTTTGAAATTTTAAATGATTTAAATTTATAAAAATATAAATTTTTTGAAGGATTTTACTTAAGAAATTTTCCAGATTTTTGAGTTGGACCCACAATTACCCCTGCATAAGTCATCGATTACTGACTCTGAACTATCTGTTTAAGTTGCGTCAGTGACTGACAGCGATAAATATGATGTTGTTGTTGTTCATTTACGTCGCACTAGAGCTGCACAATGGGCTATTGGTCTACGGTCTGAGAAACATCCCTGAGGATGATCCGAAGACATACCACCACAATTTTGATCCTCTGCAGAGGGGATGGCACCCCCGCTTCGGTAGCCCGACGACCCACACGCGAAGTCGAGCACTTTACGGTAGAACAGTTTAACGAGGACCCATACCGCACGCCCTCGGTCCCTACGCAGACTGATCCCAGTGGTCACCCACCCGCACACTGACCGCATCCAGTGATGCTTGACTTCGGTGATCTGCTGGGAACTATGTCTTAACGATCAGTCCACTGTGGGACATTTACATTGTTTTAAGTAATTACTGAAAATTTATATAACTTAATATTTATTTATTACAAATCATAATTTTATTTATTTATATATGTTAGTAGTTCACTTCTCATTGCTTTACCACAATACAAGTGCTTCAAAGCAGCACTTGACCTTTCATTAGAAACACGCATGGCACTCAATGTTTTAAAATAAAGTATCAATAATGTGATTCATACTCACCATATATCCACATGAGAGCTATAATTTCACACATTGCTACACATATACCAGCAAAGCCTCCTCCATATGTATCCATCAAATTAAAAACATATTGGCCTCCCTGCAATATTTTACATATCAAACATTTTCATTTAGTATATTTCAAAAGATGTATTCACTGTTATGCTTAAATCAGTTACATAAATAAAATGTATCTTCTTATGTGACAGGATATTTTAAAATGTTTTTTAATAAAATATGCAATAATGCAAAATAAGTTTTACTTCTGTGTAATTAAATTTCTTATTATATTTATGAATTTTCATTCTTTAGTTTATTGTGTATCAATCTTAAACAATAAATGTCATTATCTATATAATATCTAAAATATTAGTTGAATAGAATTAAGGGATCAAAAAAACAAAACCTGAAAAGAATTATATTTGTAGATTAGCCGTTCCTATCAGATGAGACCTTTTTCGCATAATTAAAGTATTGCTTTGTGCATAAATTATCTTTAACTTGTTAGATGTGTAGTCTTTATTTAAAAAAATAAATCCAAACTGTACATTAAAATATGTCTTTTTGAAATCAAAATAAGATTTATTTTAATAAATATTTGATATCTTAACCCTTTGGAGCAGAATTTTTACTAAACATAATTTTCATTATTTTGTATAAATTTAGGTCAAAATAAGGAAAAGTATATTTAGCATTTCAATAATTTATGGTTTTATAATACAATGAAACAGCAGTGTCTTTTTTCTGTGTTAAAGGTAGAATCTTCCAAACACAACTCACTTCTGAATAATAATTTTTCAAATTTGCAGTTATTTAAAATTTTTTAATTTACAAAATAAATTATTGATAAATTTTTGAATATGAAAAGAAAAATTAGACTTTTTTATAATTAAAAAATACCAAAATATATTTTTGCTTTTAATTAGAGCGTTAGAAAACTAAATTTCTTTAATTTCCATCTGAATAAATGTAGAAGAACAAGTAATCGAAAAATTTTCTTTCTACAGTAATATCATTAAAACTAACTATGAAAATTTCATGGATTGAGATTAAAAAATGGCCTAACTTCTAAAATATGGTAAAAAGATAGAATCATGACACTAGAACAAAGGAAACCATAGCTTTGTATTTATATGAAAAAAAAAAAAAACAAGGAATAATATTACTTAAATGTAATTCTTCTGATTCGCTAATAATGTCTGAATCTTCTCTGATAACTTCTAAATGTCTGATTCACTAGATTTTTTCTCGCTTAAATATTTATTAAATTGCAACCTTCACTAGTAATACTATAACTTCCTTTTATGAGAAGGATTCTAAAAATATATATCAAGGGTGGTGTTTACAGTACACCCTGTATTTATAGTACTCTATTTCTCTGCCAATTCATTAAATAAGATGCTTTTAGCACGTTGAAAACGGCTCGCATTTTTAAGGAAATCCCTGTTGGGCCACACGCGTTGTTTAGAAGCGTTCGTATTGTGGTACAGCCATGGGAAGTACACAACTAAGAGATTGAAATAAATATAAATTTTAAGTAAATTATAGTGATTACTCAAAACAATGTATTTTTTTAGATTTACATCATATTTTACACTATCAATCACTGATGACTGACATGGCCTAAATGGCCAGTGTCGGTCATCGATGACTGAAGTGACTTTCAATGTGTTCTTAAAACAGATCACTGATGTCATTAAATTGTCGAAAGAAGGTGTTTCTAAATTTACTAAAATGTTGCTATTAATTTTAATTTTGAAAGTATAAGAGTACTTGATTCATACCTCTGTAACGCATGGCAATCCCAAAATGAAGAGAATTATGCAAAAGAACAAATTAATGAGAGATTTTCGCTTTTGGAGAAGGGGAAATTCATCATATATGGCTGTAAAGAAGCTTTCCAAGTAGGAGAACTGTAAAATAAAACAATTTTGAATGTAAAGACATGCCTTATATTTACACCAATTTTATTTTCATTTTTAAAGACAGGTAATGAATTCAAAAAAAGCTGAGAGCTATATTAAAATTTTGTGTCAATAATTTCTTCACTATCTAATATCCACTCCAAGCAACAACCACGAGTGTTAATTCACAAACTAAAGTAAGAGCTATATAAACTTACATTTTAAATTTCTAAAAATAACAAATTTCTTACTAATAAAACATTATTTTTGGTTGTGTGTGTCCAGTTTATTTAGTGTTACGTATACAATTACTTTAAAATCATAACTAAAAACTATTTAAAGCCAATTTATTAAAAAATATTTGAAAGGAACATTTTAGAAAACTATGAAAGGGTGGTGACATCAGAACAAGCATTTTCATATTTTTCAATTGTTTCTTAAAAGATTAAGACAAAGTGGTTATTTTGGAACAAATTTTTTTTCTTATTTACTTGACCGTGGCTTAATACTTTAAAGTTAAACATTAAATGGGTTTTTTTTTTTTGTATCTTAGTATTTGAATTTTTCCAAAAAGCGTTTTTCTTTTAGCCACATTTTCAAGTCGTCTGCGCTTAAAACCTTGACAAATCAACATATTGCCGTTAAGTTGTATTTTAAAAGATCACAAAGTTCTCTATGTTCATTGAGTTTTTCCTTTTTTTGCAAATTGGGGTCACCATTTATACAAATGTTAATACATTAAAAAAAATATTAATGTAACATGTATAGTGGAAAAAGTTTGCTTTTCCTTTCTTCTAGTTTAAAAATTGCAGCTAATGCTAGTTCAACCTTACACCTTTCGAAAAAAAAAAGGAGACTTCATTAAAAATAAGCTATATTGCAGCGATTTTTTTGTATACTTCGGAATAATTCAATTAACAGTTCACTAGAACAATAAATTTAAATGATAAATGACTTTTTTCAGAATTATGATTTATTTTACTTTCTATCTAAAAAAAAAAAATTTCTTCCCAGAATGCACTAGTTTATGCCGCCGATAGAATACCTACCCTAACATATTAATTGCTCTATCACTGCAAATTGATTTTTATAATTGCAAGTTTACTTTGCAGAAACCATATCTACTCTTATAAATTGACTATTCAATTAAACACAATATGCCAAATTATTTTAAAGTTTTAATAGGTTCTGGCCACTCTAAAAACAATACATGCTGTACTTACTTGACTATCTATAGCTAACAAGAATAGCATGAAGAAAAATGACACAGACCACAGTTGAGGTACGGGAAGCCTTGCTAATGCTTCTGGATAGGTGGTGAAGGCTAAGCCCTGTCCTGTGTAAACCATTACAACTCGTAAATTAGTGATGAATATTATAAATATCGTAATAATGATTAGTTGAAACATTCTCCAATTTTTAATAACCAATTCCAATTTTCCAAATTCTTCANGGGTCCGATTAAAAGAAAAATCATTTTGTGAAGGGTCCGTTTTTATGAAAAGATATTTTGTGAAGGGTCCGTTAACGGACCCAAATTCCTTCTAAACAGACCCCTGATAACCATTTCCAAATTCTTCAATTTTAAGGACATTAATATATATTTGAAATCTTTAAATATGATTAAAATAACCTAAATTATGTTTTACAATACAATTTAATAAAGTAAAAAATATATTTTACTTTTTATGACAAAAAATTTATCTGAGTTCTTACAGTTGTGGGTTTTTATTTTGTAAAAGATCCGTTGAATACGCTCGAGTGACCATTAAAAATTCATAATTTTATCCAAATTGAAAATTTGGAGTTATTAAGAAGAGAAAAAAAAATAATTAGGTCTGTAGTTAAGGTACTGTACTTGTAAAGAACTGGGGGGTTCGATTCCCAGTGGTGGTTTGAAGCAAATCGATGGGTTCTAGCTTGTCTAGGAAATAAAACCGGTTGGAGTGCAGTGCTGACCAAATTACCTCCATCATGCCTCTGGTCATGAAATTTGAACTCTATGACCCTCTGGAACACAGTGGGTATTTGTGGGAGAAACTTTACTTTGAAAAAATAAAAATATATCTAATAAATAAAAATAAATTGCTGTTTGTCTCAAACAAATAAACATGGTTAATTGAACTTAAAATTTAAAAAAGCTATTAACATTAATGATACTCCTAATTAAAAAAAAAATTTAATTTTCTAATATTATTTCACCAAATGGTAGAAGGAAGAGATTATTACATAGGACTATAAGGAGCAAAATTGATATACTTATGTGGCAAAAACTTAGTTTGAATATTGTTTTTCATTCCTTATTTAAGTTTTAATGAATTTTCCTAGAAACCTTGATTGAATGAAGCGAACGTGGATTTTTTAATTTCACAACAGGAGTTTTTCTATTTACAATTGCATCTGAAAAATTTACAAATTTTTTTGAAAGAGCCATGATGACTCAGGAGCATTCGCGTTCTAATGAAGTGATCCGAGTTCGAATCCCAGCGATAGCGAATTCCGCACCCGGCTCGCACCGACCACAGTGCTGACGTAAAAATATCCTCAGTGGTAGACAGATCATGGGTTAGAGTCCCCTTGCCGTCAGGCTAACCGTGGGAGATTTCCCTCTTCATGTAATGCAAAAGCGAATTAGTTCCATCAAAAAGTCCTCCACGAAAGAAAAATTTGTCTCAATACTTGATCCAGGAGTTCTCTTGTCTTCTGGGTTGGGTTCAAACTTACACGGCTGCGGAGTTGAACATTAGTAGTCGTAAACCTGAAATTGGGTCGGTTGTTCAACGACGGTTATAAAACATTTTTTTGAAAAATATGCCCAGTTCTAGAAAATATATTTCCATGTGCTATAGTTAATTGTTCCCTTCTTTTATTTTTACCTTGAAGAAAAATTGGAAGATGCAGATTCACTTTCGTTTGAAGATACTCTTAATGCCTGCGGTTGTGTGCTTCTATATTGAAAGAGAGAAATATAGGTATTTAAAACGCTCTGAAAATATTAAAACGAGTGATTTTTTTTTCTTCATAAACTGTCTTTAAGCAAAGGGGGGAGGGGAGAAGAGGCATGTATTTGTCTATGCTCTAGAAAGAAGCTATCTCATTCAATAATTGTTATCAAATATGAAAATCATATAGGAAAATACATTCACAGCAAACAAATTTATAAAAACATAGCACCCTCAATAACTTTTTATTCAATTCTCACGTACCAGTGTTCAATCTTAATGGTTGTAAGTTTAGACTCCTTAATATTAATCTTTCTTTTGCGTATGTCGCCATATCTCGAGAACTTTTTAAGCGAATTAAAGAATTCTTTTGCTCAAAGATAATTCCATGCAAAATGAAATTTTAATATACATTATTTTATTAAAAGTAATAAAAAAAATTAAATATCGTCTACATTAATAAATTAGCATATTTAAGATGAAGCCCTCGAGACATTAAGATTGAGTCCTAGTATGTGAAAAACCCATGCCCAAAAGTGTCATACCACGGGTGCTCTACCCTATTATTAACTGTTTCTTTTGTGTGCTTCTGAGCAAGTCATAATAGGGTAAACTTCCGTAGCCACCTACAATGACATTTCAAAAAAAAAACAAAAAAAAATTAGTCTGAAACATGTTAGTTTAAAAAAATCTAGTGTGGAGAAAGGAACCGATCACAGATTTGAAATTAGCGATATGAAAGTATCTAAAATCTGAGTCCCATGCTACAAAAAAAAATCGCCCCCCACTATAATTTATACCCAAAATATTCAAGCAAAAATCTTACCTCCTTTGACTACAATGCTAATATCAATATTCATTTCCGTCGCCAAGTTACCAAGCACAGAAAAAATTGTCACTCCTCCAAGCAGACTAGTAATAAAATCCAGTAAGCTAACAAACATGGCATCTCTGAGGAAGGAAAAAAACGGAAAATCAATTCATCATTTTGATTTAGGAAGCTAAATGAGGACTGAGTCTGTCAACCTTTTTTGATCTTACGACACCTAATAAGTCGAAAGAAAAGTGAGGGAGAAATGAATGCGTCGAAATTCCTTCCCTGAAACTGTTTTAAAAATCCAAAATCAGTGTGAAATTCTTTGAAGAGAAATTTCAGCTTAATGATTATATATCCAAAATATCCAAATTGATTTTATATATCCAGGGAGATTCAGTACGGATGTTACAAACCTAGAGAGGAGATAAGGCGCATCATAAAAAGTACATGACTGGATTGACTGTTCTTGCACATTTGTACCCATTCTTTTATTTATCTAAATTGAGTTAGTTTTATGTTTGCTAATAATTGTTAATTTTCTAATAATTTTTTACAGAACACCCTGTATACAATTAATAATCTATAATAGTTAATTTTATGTTATAATAAAAAAAAATTATGTGTACCTGTATATATTGTTATCAAATGCATTGTAGCTTGCTTGCATAATCAGGCAACCAGAACCTATAGAAAGAGAGTACAACAATTGTTCAGCTGCTGTCCGCCACACCTAAATAAAATTCATTGCTTTTGTTAGGCATAGTCACTCTATGTTTAAACATCAAACTATAGCTTCTTCCAATCTCATGTAATCAAATTGAGTTCTTCAGAACAGATTAATATTATTTAAGCTCTTACAAAAAAAAAATTATGTTCGTCGAACCCGTATAGATCGACACATACATAAAATAAACCCTAGGTTTAAAGAAAAATATTTTTAAAAAAATCTAATGGCATGTAATATTTGCTATTAGTATTCAGGATTCACAGTAATTCGAGGGGTGAATCTGCATCTTGGCCCTGCATAGTACTGGGATCTAGTTTCGCAACACACATTATCACAGTTGAACTTTCTCAGACATGTTATTTAATCGCGAATAGCACAGAAACTGCACTCGAAAGTGTTTGTAAACTGTTGATTTACTAAAGAAGACTCGGATTGCAACGTAAGAATTTTTTTAACAAAAGTAACTCTTTGTAGCTGCTAGGAGTCTCAAATGTAACAAACAATATTTTTCATAAACGTTTTAAAAAAAGAACGGAAGAATGTATAATTTGCTGCGTTTGCTTAGAAAACTAAGATTTTATTAGTAGCAAATTACAAAATTATTTGCATAGTTTGGCAACAGATGGCGCTGCTGATTGTAAATTGAAAAAACAAAACAACGCCTTCTGCTGAACGTAAAACTATTGCAATTGTAATATATTGTCACAGGCGCTTTACATTTTCCTTCAGACTGTGCCACATATTTATTGCAAATGATCGTTATTTTTAAAATATTGGTTTTACAATCAGCAGCGAGATCTGGTTAAAAAAAATTTAAACTTGTAAGTCATTATGCTAGCAACAGAAATGATATAATTTATATAAGGTTCATCAAAATTGGAGACATAATTTTAAGACATTCTGTATGACTGGGTATTTTAAAATATTTTCTTTTTCTTTTAAACAAAGTGAACTTCTTTCCTCCATGTACGTCTTAGAAAAGGTGCTACTTCATAATCTTAAAAAGCAACATATATAAACATTTAAGAAGTACCTGAATGTGAAAAAGCTTATTCCAATCTGGAACAAATAGATATTTCAAACCCTCCATTGCACCTGGCAAAGAACAGCCATAAGCAACCATCATAATGAGTATGACATAGGGAAAAGTCGCCGTAAAGTAAACAACCTGAAAGTAATAAGCCAAAATATGAATGTGAATGAACCGTTATAGAATATATGCAAATTTTTAAATTTCTTCATTGAAGATCACGCAAAAATAGTAAGAGAGAAATTTTATTAAATCCATCTGATTTCTGTCCTATTTTCGACAGCATTACTTGTTTTTTTTTCTCACGACGTTGAGACACAATTCAGATCTACCATTGAGCAGCCGACCCATTTTCGGTTAATGTTTATCGTTAAATTAAATTGTGGTCAAAATCCGTAACTTTATAGTTTTGAAAACAATCCAAAATAAAAAGGAAGCATTCTACATGAGAAACCATTCAATGGAACTGTGTTAAATGGGGAAGAAAACTACCCACGGTAAAAAAATTCTAACCCATAATCCGAACAATTTTGTTCTAGCAATGTAGTCAGATACTCAAACTGACTTATCTCATACAGGAAATTAAGGAATATATGGCCTTACGTATTTAAAGTTTAAATCAGAGGGTATAAAAAACCGCGCTCATACTTGCCATCCCGGAGCTCCAAATTTTTTCTCTAAATAAAATCCGATTAGATTGAATTTAGAACTTGTTTCGGTTAAACTGCGCAATACTTAAAGTTAAAAAAAAAATTATAATATAACTTTCATATCTTTTGAAGCAATTTCGTGATGATTATTTTATTTAAGAAAATTATCAAAAGTCAGGAGGTACCGAAGCAATTACTACAAAAATAAAATTTTATGTTTAAAATAATTTGCACCTTTGGAAGTTTATTTCGGTGGAGGTATGAAGTCATCACTTTAATTTTCAAAAACTATCGATGGAAAACTTTGGAACATGTAATACGGTTATGCTGCTTTTTGTATAAAACTAAGCAAATGAAGTTAATTTTCACTAAAAAACTTTTTTCCAATTTTTAGACCTTAATAATAGTGATTTAAAATGTACGTATTTTTTTCTAATTTTTTGAAGTTGTACTTATATATTATTCGTTAACAATTATAAATATTTCCGTATACGTCCTCTCGAACATATGTTCTATTTCATTTCTAGTCAAAATAGATAAATAATGCGTATTCTTAAATACTCAATTGATTTTCAATTTTTGTAAAATAGTTTGTAAGAGTAATCAAAGGAAAACTGAAGGAGATAAGCATGCAAGGTTTGCAGTGTTTCATAATTGCTCACAAATAAGAAAAACTATCAGATAATGTTTTCAAATCAATCAATATTTGTAGAAACAAAATGGCGCAGTCTGAAAATCAAGTCAAGACGTACGAGAAAACATTTCTGTTGAAATGGCAGGGAAAACATTTTTTAGTCTATTAATTTTATTGTCAGTTGTTACAATCAGAAGCTCTTCCCGTTGTCAAATGTTATAACAAATATTACAACAAATTTTGAAACTTGGTGACAAAAAAAAGTATGTTTCTTGAGCAAAACACGGCATACTATAGATTTACTTCCGTTTTTCTTTCAACAAATCGTTACATTTTCGATCATTTTTTAGGCATCCTGTAAATTAAAAAAAAAATGTCTAGAAAAAAATTTAAATATTACGTCCACAATAAATCACGTTTTTACTCTTTTTTCATGACTGAGGTAAATATGGTTTCTAGCTAAATTATTCTTGTAATTAAACACTTGTATTCAGGCTTATGAGAACCGTAATAAATTAAAATTAAGATATTTTGCTCTAACCGTAAAATATGATTATTAAAATTAGCACTTTATAATTGTACATTCACCATTGAAAGTTAAACACCTTAGATATAAATTCTTTTTATTTAGACAAACGTAATTATTGCTTTTTTAATTTACTTAAATAACTTACCTTACCGGATGATTTAACACCACGCACCAAACCAAAGTAAACTATGACCCAGCATACAAAGAGAGAGAGTGCTAAATCCCATTTGATGGAACCTAACTCTCCTAAACCAGATGATATATGAAGAACATATTTTCTGAAAGGAATTTATTCTTTATTAAGCACTCAGGATAAAATATAAAACTGCCCGTAAATATTTTCGGAATACATACATTTATATAAGTGGATCTACGATCGAAAATAAAATGATCTAAAAATGTTAAATAGAATTTTTTTTTGTTGAATTTTCGAAAGATGACGAAACAAACAACAAATGAATTCGGAAGCTTTCTATGATGCTACCCAAAAAATAACAAACTGTGCTGTTTTACATAAATATAGCCTAATTAGGGATAACAATCAAAACATGGCTGTAACCTTACATTTTTTTTATGCTGTGATTTGAATTTTGCGAAGTTTCCTTTATGTTCACGACCTGTTAGAATTTATAAATTACCGAAAACTCTTATGAAAATTTCGTGTTAACTTAAACACAAATCGCAATAATAAAACTTCCTAGAATATTAAGTCTGTTCATTACATTGCCTCGTAAGCATATAAGCTGAGGGATGCACCTGAAGTTTTCTAAAATTCTCCTGGTTTTAGGAGGCTTGTTATTCGCGACCGCAACGCTCGAATACGCCTTCTAGGGAGAAGACCGGTTCCATGCTTTTGACCCTACCCCTTTCCCTCTCCTCTTTTTTTTCTCTATAGGAATGTTCTACGATATTTTCCCCCTTCTTAATATTTTTCGTATTTAATTGCCTCAAATATTTTTTAAAACTTTCAAAACGCTTTCTTTTAGAGCTATGTTCTATGTAGTTTTCAGTTCCGTATAGTTTCCTAACTTGAAAGTTTTAATCTATTTGAAAATCAAGAGAGAAATTGACGTACTTCCTTCTCCTATGACTCTCCCCATGCTAATGGTGAAAGCATGCGAAGTGTTGTCTTAGGTAAAGAGTTCTGCTCTACGCCATCTATAGCCCTTTTCAATCACCAATTATTTACATTCAGTCACCATCCATATTTTTTAATTCTATTATTAATTTTTAAGATAAAAATAAAATATGTTAAGCATACTACCAAAAGTGACTAAGTTAGTAATCGGCAAAAATGTTTAAACACCAGTTACCTTTTTTTTTTTTTTTAAATACATGTGTATAAACACCGAAAAAGAGAAAAACGGTAAATAATAAATGAAATATAAAAATACAGACTTTACCAGTGGCAAAAGTTTCCAGACGTAACTTTTCGAAAGAATTGCACGCTTAACTTCGTCCCTATTACCAGTTCACCCAGCATGTGCTTTAAGTGTGCTTTAGGCTGTAAACTTGGATCTTTATAGTTAAAAAAGTACTTTTCAAACTAGATATTGAGCTATAGAGAGTATCCTAAATTAATTAAAAAAATTTATGAAACGAAGTTATTTCAATCTGTATATGATTCTGCATAAGTTAATACTTAAATGAGAATCATTATCGAGATCAAACACATTGAAGCTGTTGTTAAAACCACAGAGAATCTTTTTTTTTGGTGGGGGGGGGNGTGGGGGGGGGGGCTGAAAGTGCAGAGAAAATGTAAATAATAAAAATAACTATATGCATAACTTACTCCCAGAATTGCTCAGATGCTGTTTGGGTTTTATTGTTGCAGTTTGCGAAAGCGTTGTTGTATTCTTTCAACGATATCGCTATTGTGTTTTCTTTCCATGTGATATTTACGGCCTGAATATCTTCTTGTACTTCTGGAATAGTGTCTAATTGTAGGTATTTTGAAACCAAGTTTTTAGTCACCTCTCGACACAGAGTCTGAAAATTAAATTAAAGACTATGAAAAATACTATTAAATAAAGACTATTAAATTAAAGACTATGTTGTATGATACAAAAGTGATTTAAAAAAATAGCATGTGACTAAAATGTTCGTTTTGATTTTAAGACATTAATCGAATTCATGTAATATAAGTTTCGAAATACATTTTTTTTATTCTCTTTCTTTTTAATTATTAAATTTTACTCTCATAGCGGAATTAACTATAGTCCGTTATTGTATAACAAACAGAAAGTTGAAACTATTTTTCAATGATCTAATAATCAAATTCTCATGAATTAAGAACTAGGAGCATTAAAATTGTAATTTAAGAATAATGTAATCGATTAGAGTCAGCGATTTAATAAATTAAAGGTATCCGACTGGTTTCGACACATTTTTCTTTTTTTAGAAAAAAGCTCCATTAAAATTTGAATTTTACGTTTGGAAAGCAGGGGTCATAAAATTGTAAATTTAAAGTCAAGTTTAAAAATTTAAAATTTTTTTTTTCCAAATAAGGGCAAATTTGACAAATTTTTCATATTTTGTTAACAACTTTACAACCCATTGAATACATAAATTTCATTTCTAGAGCAATGGGTTTCATTTCTATTACCTGTAATTTGAACTAAAATCTTTAAAAAAGAAAAAAGAAAACAATGAATGAAAGTTAAATACGTTGTTTAATATCGAATTTTTAAAGAAAGATTGCAAATATTCTTACTTAAAACTTGATAAAAAATAACTAATTCACAATTAGACCTTATCTTTTACTTCAAAACATCGCTAACATTATCCAAAATTTTAAAGAATTCTATAATTAACTTTTTATGTAATGAATGTTAGCCGTAAAGAAACTTTCTCAAAATCAACATTCTACAGAAAAAGTACTTAAAATGAAAAATAAATTCTGAAATATAAGAAAATGCTAACGAAAAAATTAATAATTTGAAAATCAGTTTCTGAAAATGAATTTTATTTTTCTTATTAACATAACTTACAACTGAGCTGTTATAGCTCCTTGGATCAATATTAGGTTTGATCGTATGTCACATCCGATGGCGCCCTTTATCATCACACTAGCTATAGAAGCGGTTTGCTGCTCTACAACGCTCAGTTAGAGTACAACATAAATCATGGAGGTGTTCACCTCGGTTCCTTACACTCTCGTATACGATGGCCATCACTGCCCAAGTTAAATGTGGATTCATCATTGAAACCGAACCAGTTTCATTCGGTTGCTGTGCAATCCAGTCGACACCACTCCAAGCGGGGGCAACGATGGATGAGTGCCAATCCTGCCTTCGCTGTACATCAGAACACTGCTTCTAGAGCTGGTGTGCCAACGCAGGCGACACGCTACCACCCCTAATATTGACCAACGGCACCATGACAGCCCAGTGATACGCCTGTAACATCCTTCAGCCACTTATAGTACAGACCCCAGGAACCATTTTTCAACAAGCAATGCTCAGATGGAGTATTATAAGAATGCCTCAACCAGACATTACCACCTTCATCTGACTTGCTCGACCCCTAGATTTGTAACAACTGAACAAGAAAATCTAGGGCCACTTCCTGTGACGACAAGTTGGATAGCCTTAAAGTTTTATAACTGTCGTTGAACAGCCGACGCAATTTTATGGGTTTACGACTACTAATGTTCAATTCCGTAGCCTTGTAATTTTGAACCCAATCCAGAAGACAAGGGAACTCCTGGATAGAGTAATGGGTGAAATTTGCCTTCGTGGAGGACTTTTTGACGGAGCTAACCCGCATTTGCGTAACATGGAGAGGAAGACCACGAGAACCTCCCACGGTTAACCTGACGGCAAGGGGACTCTAACCCATTATCCGTCTACTACTGCGGATATTTCACGTCAGCACTGTGATCGGTGCAAGCCGGATGCGGAATTCGTATCGACTGGGATTCGAACACGTTTCCGCGACAAAGATATACCGCAGGTCAGAGACTTGCATGCTTTAATCATGACCAACTAGAAGGGGCCCTTTTTAGTTGGCTATGCTTTAATGACCGGAACGCCATCCCGCGTTTGCGCTAGAGGTAGCCAAAAAATTTCTTATTTTTCCTGCAGTAAATGATCAGTTTGTTTTGATTATTTTAATCACTTACTTACATCAGCGTTTTACTTAAGTATGTATTCGTTTCTTTCTGTTGACTCATTCTAGTTGCGTTAATTTTTATGGTGAAAAGAATATTTTTCGCAACTACCTTTATATGATGGGGATATCTTTCACTATAGTCTTCTTTACAATGAAATCGAAGAAATAATATTTCGAGTCCATATCAATGCAGCTATAATTGAGTATAAAGGTCTTTTTATAAATATATGATTTCTATCTCATTTCATCAACTGCATGAACGAAAAATGCTCTACTACTGCATTAACACACGAGCTTTGCACCAAAGGTAGGGTAAGAAATGTTCCAGTGACGTCATTTCTATAGTTTCCGAATGCCAACAGAATACACATATTGACATAACACCTTTCTCTGTTACAAGTATTAACAGATCTAAAAATATAAGGAGCTAAAAAAATATAAAATCCAAAGATTATTAAAATTTTTTCTACCTGATTACTTTGGCGAACATAGCAGTTGTAATCTGCCCCCCACCAACTGCTGCAAGTTTTCCAAGGGACATCGGTACGCAGTGATTGGGCCATGTAATACAAGGTGTAAGACATAACAACGTTGAAATAAATTGCAATCACAACTGAAACAATAGCCATTGCGATGCCAACACCTACCAAAATAAAAATTTAACTTATCCAGTATTCAAAGCAAATTCAGAATGTTGAAAAATATAAATAAAGTAAAAAAATTCATACAAAAAATTGCACCGACATTTATTTCTACACTAATGTTTAATAAATAATTTGTCATGCTTAATTTCTAAATTATTATGCAATCAGTAAACGGTTGTGCAATGCATGCAATGTTTATTGCACTGGATCCAAGACCCATATTTTCCGCTACAATGTCTGATGATAATGTTGCAAAAAGTACAATATGCATTTAAAATTTAAATAACTCGCAGCTTACACGTTCTTTATGCAATTAAATGATCAAAATATAAGTAATTAAATAAGTATAATTCTATTTAAGCTAGCACTTTTTAGAACAATTTAGAATGGATTTATTTATAATCACATTGAATAAATTCTGAAAAACAGACTTGTCAATTTAAAAGAATAAAATATTTGTACTTAATAATTCAATTGTATTAAATTATGATATCAATTTTATACGATATGTTAAAGAGTAATTTTATTCTTTGGCTGCTTAAATTATTCTATAATGTATAGTGAGCGAAAAAAATAAATAAATGGACCACCTAAATAACTTTTGATCAATTAATCGGATTGTTACGTTGTAGGACTCAATTTCAATGGTTCGAGGGGTACCTCAAATATGCTAATTAATTAGCGCAGACTATATTTTAAGTTACGAAATCAGACACAAAAACATACTTTCTTTGAATAAACGTCATTTTTTTTTGTTGAATTCGGATATCTGACACCCAAAATATCGGCTTAGCCGTAATCTGAGAAATACAGTCCCAATAGATTGATTAGGAGAGCGGTCCAAAGTTTTGACCCCTTAATGTTAATTTGACTTTTTACGTATATCTCAAGAATTTTTTAAGAATATTAAAAATTTTTTACACACAATTATAAAATTCGGTTACCCAAAGATAATTCTTTGCAAAATATAACTTTTAAAACATTTTTATTATTTAATTTAAATGTAAGTAAAAAAATTTACTTGTAATGTGTACAATTTCTTTTATCATTTTTAAGAACGTAATTCCAGATGGTAAAATACAAAATTTGAGCGAAATTGGTCGAATAGTTCCTGAGGAATCTAATTTTTTAAAAATAAAATCGTATTTTTAAATTTCTCAGGAACTACTCGACCAATTTTGCACAAATTTTGTATTTTGTCATGTAAAATTATATTCTTTAAAATAATGTAAAAATTTTAATAACTTACAATTCAAGATTTTTTCGACTATTATATAAAATAATAAAAAAATAGATAACACTTATTAAAAGTTATTTTTTGCATGGAATAATCTGTGGATAATCGAATTTTTTAATTGTGCGCATTTTTTTAAAATTCGTTTAAAAAGTTCTTAAGATATAGTGAAATACGCAAAAAATTTAAAACTTTGGATCCCTACAAACTAGATTCCTCTCCTAATCAAACTTTTGGGTTCATATTTCCCAGATTACGGCTACCCCTTATATTTTGTGGATCAGAAATACAAATCCGTCGCAAAAAGGTATGATTCAGAGAAAGTATGTCTTTATGTCTGATAACGTAACTTAATAATTAATATTTATTAATTAGTCAATTTGAGAGTTACCTCTTCAAACCAGTGAGATTGAGTCCTAGAAAGTGAAGATCCGATTTGATTAAAAGTTATTCAGGGTGGACTACTTTTTATTTCGCGTACTGTACATATATATATGTAATTTAAAAACTACTAATCCTAAAAAATTTAAAAGTATTAAATCTCATGAAATTAAATTTGAAAGTAAAACATTTCTAATAACAGATCTTAAATCTAGAGCGTAATTATTTAAAGGCTTTTTTTTCTCCTTGAAATGGTTTGTCATTAAATTGAATTAATTCATTGCCAGATAAGATGAAATATCTAACGCTAATAAAAAATTTTATTACGCAAAATTTATTATGTAATTATGAAGCATTTTCAGAAATCCTAGAACAAACTTTCAGCTTTTTTGTATATTTAGCCAGATATCCATCCCCTTTTTTTTAAATTGAACAATATTTCATGTGAAATAAACATCACTCAAAAATTCTCATTCCTCAATTAAAATTAAAGCAAACAGAAAACGAAAAAAATATTGCGATAAAAATAAAACTTTAAAAATATCAAGCATCCTACTCATTCGACATTTTGTTAAATACTTTTCATAGAATATATTTCAATGCACCTACTTACTCCATACTTGTTAATCTCAGCTAATATATCATACTCCCATAAGAAGCTTCTTAATAAAGTGTTCTTTCATTTGATTCCCACCCAACCGTCTTTCAGAAAAATCAGAAGGCTGCCCACCTTGCCAAGAAAATGTTCTACAGGAATCTTCTGGGATTTCATTCAGGTAAATTGGAAATTATTCGAATTTTTTCCAGTGGAAAACCTTCGAATGTACTCTTCTCTTAACCACATTTTGTGTTGCTGACTCACCTCGTGCGGCTAGACCTTTTCGTTTAAACCTTGTTGACTCTCTTGAATTTTCTTTTAGTACGACTGGCCATCAGGATATGACTGCTTTGCATTTGCGAGAGTGCCCTGCACGATCTGCTTTCTCTAGTCGAACAAAAAAAGTATTGGAAATTCCGTAGTCTAATGGCCCAGCTGTCGATAAACTACTAACATTTGATAAATAAATAAACATTCAACTCCCACAAAGTCGAGTGGACAATCATTTCCCAATTGCTTGGTATAATTGCAGAAGAACCACTATGCTGCACCAAATTCAATGTAAAAAAATAACTAAATATGCACAGAAAATTTCAAAAATGATCTAAAAATTCTTAACCTTTTACACTTAATTATACTTATTGTATTTAATGGGAAAAAAAGAGAAAAGGTACCTTTAGCGATTGGAAGACAACGCCAGACCTTAACAGTACCAAGACTGGCAAACTGTCCTAAAGCAAGCTCAGCGAAGAACAAAGGTTTCCCTACTAATAGCAGCATCACAATATATGCAAGCATATAAGCACCTTTATGCGAAGAAAATAAATATAAGTTAATAATTCAGTAACCTTAAGTTGTTTTAAATGTACAGAATATCCATGGTTAATGAACAAGTTTTCTGTAACCTAGCAAAAATGTATTGGTTCGCTTAAGAGGACTCTATACTACGAGAGAAACTTATCACCGCAAATTCTTTCACACCTCCAAAAGTAATTTAAAATTTAAAGTATAAAAAAATGAGTTCAGGCAATCTTGGACTAAGCCTTACTGCAAAAAATTTTCAAAAATTTTAAAATATAAAGCAGTTATGAGAAGATAACTTGGGATTACGCCATTCGAAAGTTCTCTGCATTTCGAAATTTATTTTGTTAGCAATTGAGACTTCATGGCTTACTTTAGGTTTGCCTGAACTCACTTTTTCTATGCTTTAAATTTGAAATATGTTATGGAGGTGTTAGAGAATTTGCGTTGAAAAGTTTCTAAATAGTTTTTAAAAATAAGGCGAAATACACAAAAAAGAAATATCAACATGAAAGGATCCAAACTTTCGATCTCTCTCCTAACTAAACTACTTGAACTATAATTTACAGACAGCGGGATCCCTACATTATTTGGTTCAAGAATCCAAACTCTCTTACATTCTGTAAATAAAAATGTGATAATACAACGTGATTTTAAAAATGCTATTTACATAATTAATTAATCATAAAATTTAAGGTTGGTCCCTTGAACCATTAACATTGCATCTCATGCGAGTAAAAATCTAATAATTAGTTCAAAAGTTATTCAGGTTTTTTTTATATATATTTTGTGCACTGTATGCTAATTGAAAGTCATTAAACACAACTAAATCTAGAGCAGACTTCAGATTTTCAGGCATTGCTGAGATCTAACGCGAAAAGAATTTAAATGACTAAGATTTTTAATAATATTATTCAATTAAACTTTTTGTGGCCTGAAAAACTGTTTAGAAAACATTTATTCAACGTTATTTTTTTCTTCAAGTTTCTATCATTTCTTGCAACAAGTTTTGCAGCCTCAAAAATGCGTTTAGTCTAGTAATGCATATCACTGCCCATATAAATGATTTGAAACTTAGCTTCTTAGTTCAAAAAACAAAAATTTGAATTTAGTAAAGAATTCCATAAATACTCAATTTATACTCAAGAAAGGAACGTTTTTTTTTCATTATATTTCAGTAAAACATGGCATTTAAAAGTACTGTTTAAATAACAAACTGCATTACAGTAACGATTTATAAGTTTGAAAAAATCAAAAACAGCTTTTAATATTAATGTTATGGAATATTTAAAAGTATATAGAGTTTTATTATACTTTCAGATGACTAGATTTATAATCCAAATGATTTGAGAACAAATCAGCGGAGCGTCCTCAAAACATTTTACGATTTGAGGACACCCATGTATTTATGGAAAATATTAATTTTTATGTGGAAAAAAGCTTTTAAAAAAATTGGTAACTAATATCAGAGCCTGAAACATCTTCATCAAACTTAATTTTATTTACTTAGCAGTTTTGAAATATTATAAAATATTTAGCATTTGAAAACACGTAAAATAAATAAGGAAATGATTATGTAATTTATTTATTTATTTTTTTACAAAAATTATTTAAAGACGAGTAGGACGTTTTCATGTTAATTTTAGCATGATGCTTTTTGGCTGTTCTTTGTTGTTCTTTTTTTTTTTCAAAAAAAACATAAGTATTTTTTAAAAATATTTTATTGTATATTTAAAAATATTATGTTTTCGGTGAAATTCAAGAACATTTAAGTATTCCTCAAAGTGGATTGTCCTTAAGTCGTCTTCACCTTATTATACATGAACTTTAACAAAAAAAAACCAGATGTAAACTGATGTAAACTCCTGTTTGTGAAAATTGCAACACCGTGAAGGAATCGTCATAATTGAATGAAATTTAATACCCAGTTGAGTGGTAGTAGTACAAATAAATGATTAAACTTTCAAAGCAAACAAACAATAACAAGAGATTGAAATCAGTATTTTGTGTAATCACCACGCTCCGCAATAAGTGCTGCTACACGACGTGGCATGGAGTCAAGCAAACTTTGAATGTTTGTCTGAGGAAGATAATTCCATACCGTTTGTATGCGTACCCAAAGATCGTCTGTAGAAGCATCAGGACGAGGATTACGAGCGAGACGCCGACCAACGAAATCCCACACATGTTCAATCGGTGACATATCCGGGGAATACGCTGGCCAAGGAAAAAGTTGTACCTGTCGCGATACAAGGAAGGATTGAACAGTCCTAGCAATATAAGGGCGGGCATTGTCCTGTTGAAATACTGCACCTGGCAAGGCTTGAAGGAAGGGAACAGTTTGGGGCTGTGGAACTTCACTGATGTACCGGTTGCTGTTCAGATTACCCACAATTCGTAGCAATTGAGATCGTCCATGATATGCTATGCTACCCTAGACCATAACTCCGGGTGTTCGTCCGCTGCGGCGTTCGATAACGCGCTCCGGAAGATGGCGTTCCCCGGCATAGCGTCTGACACGAATGCGGCAATCATGGTACCACAAATTGAAGCTAGATTCGTCAGAAAACACGACACGCTGCCAATCAGCAAGCCAGTCCTTATGCTGGTTGGCCCATTGCAGACGCAGGCTGCGAAGGTTTAGCGTGAGGGGGATCCTGTATAAAGGAGTCCTTGCGCGCAGTCCACGCTGCAGCAGACGTCTACGAATTAATAAAGCACACAATGAAACACCTGTAGCTACTGACCACCGTGCTGCCAGTAGTCTAGAGGGAGCCGTACGGTCCGTTAGCGCAACGCCGAACAGGTGTCTATCATCGCGAGCTGACGTGACATTTCGGGGTCCCCTCCCGCATTTCCGAGTTGTCCGACACTCGTCCATCCACTGCTTTCAAACACGCATCACTGTGCTGTTGTTACGCTGCACACGAGTGGCTACTGCACGATAAGATAATCCAGCTTAACGAAGGCCGATGATTCTCCCCTGTTTAAACTCCGTAGGTTGTTGAAATCTCGCTCTCTTTCGTCGAATAGGCATAAGTAATGACTAAGCTAANTGAATTTAGTAAAGAATTCCATAAATACTCAATTTATACTCAAGAAAGGAACGTTTTTTTTCTCATTATATTTCAGTTAAACAAGGCATTTAAAAGTACTGTTTAAATAACAAACTGCATTACAGTAACAATTTATAAGTTTGAAAAATTCAAAAACAGCTTTTAATATTAATGTTATGGAATATTTAAAAGTATATAGAGTTTTATTATACTTTCAGATGACTAGATTTATAATCCAAATGATTTGAGAACAAATCAGCGGAGCGTCCTCAAAACATTTTACGATTTGAGGACACCCATGTATTTATGGAAAATATTAATTTTTATGTGGAAAAAAGCTTTTAAAAAAATTGGTAACTAATATCAGAGCCTGAAACATCTTCATCAAACTTAATTTTATTTACTTAGCAGTTTTGAAATATTATAAAATATTTAGCATTTGAAAACACGTAAATGACTATGTAATTTATTTATTTATTTTTTTTGCAAAAATTATTTAAAGACGAGTAGGACGTTTTCATGTTAATTTTAGCATGATGCTTTTTGGCTGTAACTTAAAAAAAAAACATAAGCATTTTTTTAAAAATATTTTATTGTATATTTAAAAATATTATGTTTTCTGTGAAATTCAAGAACATTTAAGTATTCCTCGAAGTGGATTGTCAAGTCGTCTTCACCTTATTATACATGAACTTAAACAAAAAGAAACAGATGTATACTGATGTATTATTCAAAAGTTTCGATTGAAAAATAAAAGGTTGAATGAAACCATATGATTTCTGAGATCTTACCTCCACCATTCTGGTATGCACGGTATGGAAATCTCCATATATTCCCAATACCCACAGCTAGGCCAATGAGGGATAGTAGAAATTCTGCTTTGTTAGCCCATTGACCTCTTCGTAATTCATCCTTCATTTTCAGAACTTATAGTAGCGTCCATCAGAGAACAGCGAAGGACCTATTTGATTTTTATATATTCGAGAAATTTTTTAGGCATAGAATTTTTCTATTTATAGAACTTTATTTAGCAAAAATTCATGTATACGTTCACTGTGAAAGATCGAAATTGGTGACTTTACTTTCATCTGTGAATGTCAACAACCACGTTGCTACGTTGACAATATATGCTGCAGCTGATTTGAATCTTAATTTATTCATAGATTTTAAATATTTATTAGATATTTAAATATTTATCTGATAATTTAATATCCGATTAGGGTAGATTAGGTTGTTGATGTAGTTGGGGTAGATTAGGGAAAATATCAGTGTTTAGAACACTGGACAGGTGTGGCAACAATACCAAGTATTCTATATCACTATGTTTATTAAGATTAAAAATCTTTGCCCGGTGTACACTTCCCTGGTACTCCCTAAACTGATGCTTTTTTTGAAAGTTAAGTTTCATTGCTCGGTATTCTCTACACTGATATTTTTCCTAATTTAACCCGGTATAAACTTGTCCGGTCTCCCCTAAAATTTTTTTAAGGTTAAGTGCGACTGTTTGATATTTACATTAGCCCGGTATTACCAACAATTAAAATATCAATTAATAAATTAGTATAAAAATGGACACAACAGTATTTCGAGTATTCTATGTGATTGTCCACATTCTCCAGATTTCACTCTTTCACAGTAACATATATATTCATTTTAGTAACACATTTAGAACAAGGAAATTTGTAGGATTCTCCCCTAAGGAAACTCTTTTTCAAGAGACAAAAACTGAAAAATGAAAAGGTAGTTCGCTACGTTCTGCTTAATTTCAGAATTAGAAAGGTATAATATTATCTTCAAAAAGTATTTTTAAATAGGAAACACACATATATCTGTGTTTTTTCCTCTCGTGAATTTAATTTGAGGTATTAAAAAAAGGATTTTAAAAGAACATAATTATTGAAAAACACTTAATAAACTTGAAAAAGAATAAGATAAAAAATTTCCAGCAATAAGAGTAGTGGTTTATGCAATAGGATGTTACTTCTTATTTTTTCAGCTATTACTACACAGAAAAGAATAAAATTCTAATATCAGTTCAAAAAAGTATTTGAAACATGCAAAAATAAATGAAAATCTTCGTAAATAGAAAAGTTGCCTCATGTATGCATGATTTTTCCACTCTCCACACTTTGTTACCGTGTTGACGAAATTCTTGCTTTTACCCCACGGTAATCATCTTTACTACTGAAACGTACTACCGGAAAAGCAAGATTTTCGTAACCATGGTAACGAAGATGGGGAGAGTTGGAAAACCACGTAACCTAAAGCAGCCAATTTAATTTAGAGACAATTTAAAGACTGTCATTAAATATTTCTATAAGACCTGATAATGTTAGACTTGCTAAAACAGTAATCATTTTAATTAAAAAAAAACTTAAAAGTTTTGATATTAATTGAACAAACCGTCTCATTCATCTGACATCAATCAATAAAAATATGCAATACGGTGTTTCTTCTCTTTAATTTTTTCTAAAATGTTACGATAAGCATTTTAATATTCAAGGCAAAATTACTGAGCGATGAGAAGTTATTTATAAGATATCATGGTCTTCAAAAATATTAATTTACTTAAACCTGTAAAAAGAAAATATCAAGAATTCATTTTAAAAAATTTGAACTTAATAGTAGTACAAAAGAATTATGATTTATGCTCATTCTGACTATTTTACCCTAACTTTTAAGGCTGGAATTATGGCTAGCATTACGTAAGAATAGCTAATGTAAAGTAAATGAATTGTCTGGTATAAATCCTTCAGAGCTAGAATGAATAAAATCCAATAGGATGCATAAAAAAAACTGTCCAGTGCGAGTAATATTTGCGTTAATAAGTAATGTAACCTTGATCATTTCAGAATTATTAGTTAATGGATTACTCAATTTTTGCCCTGCTCTATTATTTGCATACATGGTTATTGTAAAAGTTAAGCTGGCCTTGGTAATAAATAAATCGAAAGTTCATTTTTGATTCAGAAGATACCTTAATGTAAGATTGTAAAATTAAAGGTGCTCTTTATCAAACAATATTAGCTATAAACGGATCTCTACTGGAATTATTTTTCCACAAAGGTAACAATTAATTTTTGCAATTGTCAAGAAATTGCAAAATGGTAAGTAACTGAGATTTTTGAATTTATTCTATGTATGTGTTCTCGAATGCCGGTATAATACAGATTAAGATTTCTATGATTATTTACTTATTTTTTGACATGACGAAATTCAATGACTTTTTCCAATCATTTAATCATAAAAAAAGAACATTTTGCATTAAAAAACTCAAATTATTTCATATTTTTAGCAATTTTGCTAGTTTCATAAAATGGATAGAAACAATCTATTGCTAAAGAAATCAAATTTAATTTAGGTTTTAATCAATGCATTAGTATGTAAACAAAAAAGTGGAAAACGTCGGGAAAATTATTAATTTTCACAACATTTTAAGAAAAACAAGCATCAAGATATATATAAAAGATTAATAAAATAAAACACATTTCAAATGCAAAATATACAGCTAAAAGTAGAATGAATAAAATCATATTACGTTCCCTTCATCCTAAAAATTGCACATACGCAGTAGGAAATTTCCCGGGCCAAAAACTTCACAACAGAAACGAATTTGTCTAATCATTCATCAACATAAACCAACTTCATCGACACAGTAACCACAAACGCTCATAAATGCTGTCTTTGGATGGTAATGATAAAGTTAGTCTGGTAGCAAAAATAGGGTGCTGCAATAGTGTTGCAGCAACAACAGAAGATTGGCATTTAAGGCAGAGTTTGTAAATGACTAAGGTTTCGAATTGCGATCAAGAAGGTCGCAGGTTCTTGCACAGAAGTCACTGAAGAATCTCAGAATACGCCAACTAAAGCACTTTATTGAAGTAGCTTATTATCAGATCAGTAAGTGGAGAACGATCACAAAAAGACTCAGATTAATATCCCTAAGTTCTGATTTTACAAACACGCGCTCTGAATGTTATTGTAAATGTTCAGACTTTTAAGCAATTTTGGGACACAATTCTGCAACATAGTTCTACAATTTATAATGAAGTTCTTGGATGATATCCATTGGTAAATTCTAATCCATTAGTAATTCTAACATGTGCGGGTCCCGCAGTGGACTGATTCTGNTCACTGGCTGCGGTCAGTGTGCGGGTGGGTGACCACTTGGATCAGTCTGCGTAGGGACCGAGGGTGTGCGGTATTGGTCCTCGTTAAACTGTGCTACCGTAAAGTGCTCGACTTCGCGCGCAGGTCGTCGGGCTACCGAAGCGGGGGTGCCATCCCTTCCGCAGAGGATCAAAATTGTGATGGCATGTCTTCGGATCATCCTCAGGGATGTTTCCCAGACCGTCGCCAATAGCCCATTGTGCAGCTCTAGTGCGACGCAAAGTAACAACAACAACAACGACTAACATGTGCGCGAAGTCGAGCACTTCACAGTAGAACTGTTTAATGAGGACCAATAGTGCGTAACCTCTGTCATTTCGTAGGCTGATAGAAGTGATCACCCACTCACTCACTGTCCTCTGCCAGTGATACTTAACTTCAGTGATTTACAATAAACCATTTTTACGAACAGTCCACCGTGGAACTAGGGTACAGAGAACGTATTTTGAGCTCTAAGTCGACTGCATATGTATCTGTAACAATAAATAAAATGAATAAACTCATTTTATTCACATAAGCGAGCTTGTGTGAACATAAGCAAGAATGCTTCATAAAATCCAGTAAAGTAGAAGAACAGAAAGCACAAATAAGGATAGAACTTCACATGATAAATACTGGGTTGAGGCGTCATTTGAATCCATTACATACACACTTCAGTATCTGGTGGAATGGCAAAGCCCCTCGACCACGAAGGTCCCATTTATCAATGTTATATGACCTAATAGCTGTGTAAATGAGTCTTGAGCTTAGTAGAAAGAAGCAGAGAAGATTATCGAAAGAATACATGGCATAAAGAACAACTGAATGAATGTAATCATTGAATAAAGTTAGGCCTAAAACTAAGATTAGGAATGGTGATAGAGAAAGTCACGGGATCGTAACGCGGAGTCCCTAAAGTATCTCTGCAATTACAAACAAGTCATTGCTAAGCAAAACTCTTGTTTAGTGAATGTTCTGAGCCATAAGGAAGAAGATACAAGCTTAATTTTTGACTGGAGGGTCACAGCAAAATTCAGCAGATACAAGAACCGAACTCCTGATCAAACTCCTGACGGATTCTAGTACTGCAATTGAATAATCGTCATGTTTCAAAACTTGTTAAAGCGCTATGCATCCAGATGATTTTAGGTAAAAGATGGAAAATAACTTCTCTACAATTTTTGTTTCTATCTGCCTACTTGAAATTCGTACGAAAATTTCACTATATGAAAGATTCAAATTTTTTAGTAGTCACCAGGAAAAAAGATGCCCTACAGAAGTAATTTTTATTTCTTCCTTCTTGGCTCTAAAACTTGGTGGTAAATGGGATGATAATTACTTTCGTAACTGAATGAATCTAGTGCTGCCTGTTAGTCTAATGAATTTTTGTACGAAGTTGTGGTTTTTTGCGCTGTAATCCGGGATTTTAATCTCTCATCCCAAGTAAGCTGGAAAAAAATTTTTAAAATTTTAACACTTTACTGATTTGAGTAAGAATACAGTCTAATCAATTAACAGATAGCGAAAAGTAATAAATACGATCCTATATCTGCTATATTATATCTACATGAGTGGTTTTGACCGCAAGACTTATCGCAGGAAGTTTCATCCGTCGAATACCATACTTCAGAAGCGTCAACTTGTTCCCAACCCAACTCCGATCTTTAAGACACAATTCCCAGCAGATCACTGAAGTTAAGCATCAGCGGCTGAGGTTCGTGTGCGGGTGGCAGACCACTTTGATCAGTCTGCGAAGGGACCGTGGGTGTGCGCTATTGGTCCTCGTTAAACTGTTCTACCGTAAATTGCTTGACTTAACTTCGAGCAGAGGTCATCAGGCTACCTAAGCAGGAGTGCTATAACCTCTGCAGAAGATCAAAATTGTGATGGCATGTCTTCGGATTATCTTCAGGGATGTTTCCCAGACCGACGATTACTACTGCCCCTAGTCCTAATAACAGTTCCCTTTTGTGGGACAGTTGGCACCCATGACTTAATTGGGTTGACACACTCTTTACGAACTTTATCTCAATTTCTTCCTTAGTAGGGTAAACTTTTCACTTGCAGTGTGTTGTTACTTAAATTCTCTCTCTTTTTTTTCTTTAGTAAAATGCATTATTTAAGTGAAGGTATATTCAAATAAAATATTCAGTTATTAAACATTTATTAGTACATTTTATTTAAAACACTAAAATTATTAATAAATTTGAAAAAGAATGTAAAAATTATTTTATTATATTTATTTTTAAAAACATTTATTACCAGCTAAATAAATATTCTTAACTTCAATAAGGATATCATTTTTTTATTTTACTAAATTTCGTTTAACTAAAATTAACCCGCTTTCGTGTTTGTATCGATGAAATCTTGCAATCTAAATTTCGACCACTTTCCGTTTAGCTAGAATGCTTAGAACTGTACTGAAGCTCCGTGTCCGATGACAATGTAAGTTTCAATCATTTCATGACCACTATCAGCAGAATTCTGCGCGATATAGTTAATCGGTAAAGATAAATTATAGTCAACCACTTTAAGACTAACTTAAACACGTAAATTTCATCTCAATCTCTAAGCTATAAAATTATTTTCTTTTGGATCATTTTTCTACCACTACAAATAGAAATTATTGCGATATTATCTCCAAAGGAAATTTATCCAGGCCTCCTGCATTAACTCTATTTTCCCCCTTAAAATGACATAAGTTCGAAAGCAGGCCCAAGACATCTCATATTTGAAATGATTTATTTTCGTAACCACAGTAACCGCCGGCAGCGAGTAGCGGTAGCAGAACTTAGGAGCTGTTTTAAAAGAGTTATTTCGTTCTTCTTACAAAATAAATAAATAAATAAAAAATAATAATAAATAAAAAATAATAATAAATAAATAAAAATAATTATAAATAAAATAAAATACTATTATTATTTATTTATTAATAATTTTTTTTCGAATAAGAAACTGCCTTCAACTATAAATCTAACTGCATTAGGTAATACTTAAGCAGTTATCAATCGTTCTTGTTTCGCGTGGTTGGCGCATAAGGCTTTGAATCTTGTTCTTCATCAGTTGCGCGGGTTAAGTGTCGTGACAATTAATTGAATGAATGAAAATTATATACATTTTATTTACAAAGTAATAATATGATATTTAAGAGAAACAGGGGTTAAAAACCAAGCCTACTTCGAATGATATAATAATTAAATATTATTCAGTGAAAGTTAAATTTACCTCAATGTTTAATGCTTATGTTAATCTTCAGAGTAAGCATCTTAAAATAAGCGTCGCCTCACATGTAAAGCTCCAGCTAGATCATTCAAATTGGGTATATGCGACTTATCACATGGTTGTATCTAATCACGTGGTTGCTCATAGCGTCTTATCATTACAGCTTTAAGGCTTAGGCTCGGTAGGTAGGTACTTTATTTACGTAGCACTAGGCCTGCCCAATGGGTTATTGGCGACGATCTGGGAAACATCTGTGAAGATATGCCATCACAATTCGTGAAGCCACTTCCTCAATTTAGACATAGATCTCAAGGGGAAAGAAATTTCCTTGTTCCCCATTGTAAATATCAGCGACCGACCAAAAGATTTTCGATTCCCCAAATTTAACGATCGTATATACTCGGTGGGTCATAGTGCTGTCGAAGATCGAACCCTAACTTCGGACCGGAGTCCGATTCATTAATCACTGAGTTATAATTGTCCAACACTTAACTTTATTATCATGCTAAATCAATTTTCGGATATTGCAGCTCTAGTGCGACGTAAATGTTCTTGTTCAGTTACGTCGCACTAGAGTTGCGCAATGNTTGAAGCCACTTACTCAATTTAGACATAGATCTCAAGGGGAAAGAAATTTCCTTGTTCCCCATTGTAAATATCAGCGACCGACCAAAAGATTTTCGATTCCCCAAATTTAACGATCGCATATACTCGGTGGGTCTTAGTGGTGAAGATCGAACCCTAACTTCGGACCGGAGTCCGATTCATTAACCACTGAGTTATAATTGTCCAACACTTGACTTTATTATCATGCTAAATCAATTTTCGGATATTGCAGCTCTAGTGTGACGTAAATATTCTTGTTCAGTTACGTCGCACTAGAGTTGAGCAATGGGCTATTGGCGACGGTATGGGAAACATCCTTGAGGATGATCCGAAGACATGCCATCACAATTTTGATCCTCTGCAGAGGGGATGGACCTCCGCCTCGGTAGCCCGACGACCTGCACGCGAAGTCGAGCACTTTACGGTAGAACAGTTTAACGAGGACCAATACCGCACACCCTTGGTCCCTACGCAGACTGATCCAAGTGGTCACACACCCGCACACTCACCGCAGCCAGTGATGCTTGACTTCGGTAATTTGATGGGAACCGTGTCTTAACGATCAGTCCACTGCGGGACGCGATGTAAATGAAGTGCCAGCCTATCAATTTTCGGACGAGATTTAATTGAATACTTGCAAGCGATGTCACGCGTGTGTGTCGAACCTGATTGGCTGACTCATGCGACACGTCGCCAGCAAGCATCCAATTATTAATCCTGTAAGTTTAGATTTTCTGCATTTTCTACTACACGTGCTTTTTAATAATTTTTGTAAATAGCATTTATTTTTAATTGTATAAAGTAACGTTTATGATAAGCTATAAGCTGTTAAAAAACTACAAAGACAATGACAGACATTTAATTGTCAGCACAAACTTCCTACGTTTAAATAATATTCGTCAAAATGTATTTTTCGTAAGAATTTCAGATAATTTAAGAGTAAAAATAATTAAGTTAGACGCAAAATAATGGAAAAAGTTCGCAGACCATTATTGAAAGTTATACTTCTAGGGGATTCCGGTGTTGGAAAAACGTCTTTAATGCATCAATACATAAGCAAGAAATTTACTAGCGTTTACAAAGCCACGATTGGAGCTGATTTCTATACCAAAGATGTCGTCGCCAACGGTAAGACAGTAACACTGCAAATATGGGATACAGTTGGCCAAGAAAGATTTCAATCGTTGGGCATTGCGTTTTATAGGGGAGCTGATTGTGTAGTTCTTGTTTATGATGTAACAATGCAGTCCTCATATCAAGCCCTAGAAGTTTGGAAAGATGAGTTTTTAATCCATAGGGCTCCAAAAGATCCCAGAAATTTTCCATTTGTTGTGCTTGGTAATAAAGTGGACTTAGGAAACAAAATTCGCAAGAAAGTTGATATACAGCAAATTATGATGTGTGATTATACAGTGCCGTCCTTCTTGACGAGTGCTAAAGATCGGACGAACATAAAGGAAGCTTTTGATTGTGTTGCTAGAATGGCGATGAGTCAAGAAAAGGATGATTACTTATTCAACACAATGCCGGAAGAAATAACAATAAATCCTAAAGAGGAAGATTGGAATTATAAATGTTTGTGTTAAATATTTTATTGGAGTGAAGTTTGATGCGTTTGAAATAAATATACTGAATGATATTTCTTTGGCTCAGTGTTTTGGTCTGAGTTACAAAAAATAGCAGAAAATGCGATTTTTACTTAGAATTGTGTAGCTTAGAAGGAAGTAAACTAACAAATGCGATGCATTCAGTTTTTTTTGCTGTTGAAAAAAATCAATTAAATTTAATCAAGCATTTCTGCTATTCTTATTTGGCTTTGCATATAGTGAGTTGTATTTTTAGCCCTTTTTGGTTATGAAATAAAATCTACTAAACTCAAATGACAAGATAGGTCATATAACTTCCCAAAAGGTAATTAGAATCGAATTTCTTATTTTCTTTATGACTTTTCATTGTAATTAAAATAAAACTACACCCATTGAGGTAAATACAATTATGTTTTACATAGACGATTGCCTTGTAACAAACAGAAAAAAAAATTATCGAAACATTTTATTTAAGTGATAAAATTGCACCAAATGTAGACCAATGCATGAAATTTTGAAGGAAACATGAAAAAAAGAAAATCACTTTAGCTTGGTTTTGCAAAAATTATATCTCAATGAAATAGGAAGAAAATAAAGTGAATAAAACACAAATAAGAGTACAGAAATATAATAAGTTCGATTCTATAAACAAGAACCATCTTCAGTGTCTAAAAACAAAAAAATTTGGTGTGTCTCGGATTCTAAACTCTATTTTTTTTATGTTTAAACATTGAGGAAAGTTTTTATTTATGGGACCGAAACTATTAAAGCATGTCTATTTCTGTACTCTTATTTGTGCTTTATTCACGTTTTCTTCTTTAACTCTGCATTGCACAAAGTACACACAAGTTCGAAACCTTTTTTAGTTAACGAGCACTGGCCTAACCTGTCTCTACTTTATCAGCCACCACAGCAAAGAACCATATTTATATTATACCAATGAAAAACACTGTTTACCTAAATCGATAAGATATGGAGACAAAGTTTAAAATTATAGTTCAAGAATAGTTGTTTAAGTGTAATAGAGTTTTCTTCTTGAATTTTTTTCCCCTTTATAATCTTGCCTATTACAATAATAAAATTTTTAATAAGAGAATATGTCAAACCTATTAAATTTGATGCAGATTATAGGCACAGTTCGGCAATCATACGCTGTCGAGGACTCAAATATATATATATTAATGCATATTCTTGTTCAGTTGTCTAAAGAAAGTGTACACTTTCAAACTTTCTGAACACAGCAATTTTTTTTTGTTGCACAATTCGAATGATTAAGTAAGAGCCAGAAATGGCTTTGTTGTGCCAAACAAACCACCATTACAGACTAATTGCAAAGGGGGAAAATTAGTGTTATATTTTCTAAATGTCGAAGGAAAAAGATAACTAAAGTAAGAGTAGGAAATATAACTAAATATTAAAAAAAAAGTGTGATTAGAATCGAATTATTGAAAAATATCTGGCAGACATCTCTGCTGTGGGTTAATGCTGACATATCGAATATACCCATTACCAGTAAAAATATTTTGAATGGTTTCCGTATTTTAGTCACATGAAATCCAATTTACATCTGGTTGGCCACTCCACAATACCAACATCTTCTTTTTCCAGTATATGGTCACGCCGAAATGTTCCGCGTGGTATCGCATTAAGCATCCACTAAAATTAAATCAGGACCCATTGCAAAGACAATATGCTCCAAGACATCATCTGTATACCAGTCAGAGTACCTCTTTCAAGGACATGGAAGATTGTGCGGCGGTCCAGCATTGTGCCTGTCCAGATCAGATAACCACGGCTGTCATAATGGTTGATTTCTCGGACATCAGAAGGCAAGTAGTGGGTTCCTGGTTCTTTCCATATGAAAGTAAGTCGAGAGTCAGTTGTCAGGCTGAAGCGGGACTTATCAGTGAAGAGAACATTCAACTATTGATCTATGAACCAATCTCTATGATCTCTGCTTCATCCTAAATGGACTCTTTTGTTGACAGAAGTCAGCGGAACGCAAACAGCAGGTCTTCTTGCAAACAAATCTCTCTCACGAAGCCTTCTGGAAACAGTAACTCTAGAAACTCCGCTTCCTGTGGCCATATAGAGGTTATAGAAGTGCTGAGAAGCTGTAGTCTCTCTGTAATCGATAAATACCGATCTTCGTTGTGGTTCTTGATCGACCTTTGCCAGATTTCCTCCTGACAAATCCGGAATCCTAACATTGTTTCCACGAATTTCACACAACGCTGGGTGTTAAATTGAATTCTCTACAAATCTGGATTTGAGGAGCAGTGGTGGCTTGTCGATATGAATTCTGTACCCAGATCGCACATATCACAGTGCTGCTGACGTAAAGCATCTCCAGTCGTAGATGGATCATGGATTTGAGTCCCCTTGCCGCCAGGCTAACCGTGGGAGGTTTTCGTGGGTTGTTCATAAATGCGAATTAATTCCATCCTCCTCCATGGAAGCCAGCTTTTCCCAATGCTCGATATAGGAGTTCCCTTGTTTCTGGGTTGGGTTCAAAATTACAAGATTACGGAGTAATACATTGGTATTCGGAAAATTCAGAATTGGGTCGGTAATTCAAAGCCGGTTATAAAATAAAATGGAATTTGGATTTGGTCTGCTTCAAATATTCCCCTTTCATTCCATCATCTAAACGTCGGTACTTTTTGTTGTTTGAAATTAAACGAATCGGTTAAGATTGCTGCTAAAAAACACCAAGAAATTAGGCAAGGTTTTACCAAATGTAGATTTTACCATGCGCGCATATCGAGTATATTCATCTTCTAGCCCCGCCCACACACACGTATACGCGTATGCATGCATTCGACACACAAGATCGAGATCTTCGTTTCGAAGCAGTAGTTTTACACTTCACTCAGTTGTTTTCAGGAAATTTTAAGAAAATATGCGAATTCTCTTAATTTGGAACACCAGTGTAGTTTAAACAGATGTAAAAATTTATAAATTCAAAAATAATAATTTCCCTCTCTCCTTATTAAAAATAAATAAATAAACTTTAAACATAATAAAATTGTAAGATTTCCGTTTTATATTAGTTATTTAACTTTTGAGTCCAAAATAGACGGGGTTAGTCCTACGTCACTAGCTCTCCTCGTTCCAAACAAAGTTCTGAACGGAGCAAACAATATGGCGTTTCTCATGTAGTTAAAAGTGGGTGAACTAAATCTTTGAATATATTAATATAGAGTCGAATTTAACCACTGACATGGCAAGAAAAAGTGTTGCATATATTAATATTACGTTAATCTCTTTTTATGATATTAATTGGAATAGCTTATTAATTGCAAATGATTATGAAAACTTTTTGTATATATGATTGAGAGAATTTGTATTTAATATTTACCATATAAATTGTATTTATAATCTGGAAATCGGAAATTTGCGAATTTTATTATTTAATTTATGTTTAATTTTTCTTAAAATATGTATAATATATTAAATCAATTTTTTTTATAATATTGAGACAACTTGTAAATAATTATGAGAATTTTAAAGCAAATTAAAAAGTTATGTAAGAAGCATGAATAAAGTCAGATAAATTATTGAAAATTATAAAGCATTTTAGATACACGTTTTTAAAATAGCTCAAATTAATTGGTAAATTTACTAAAATGATAGGAAGTAAAAAAAAAAAAAAAAATTATATAAACAAACGAGTAGACAGGTTGATATTTACAACCAAATTATGAAATAAATATGGATGACTTGAATGTTACGTTCACTGCAACAAATAGAATATTACTATGAAGGTACATTGGAGCATCGTTTATACGACGATCTCTTATACGACGTTTACATTTATACGACGTTTTAGTGTGGTCCCAAATCATTCCTATTCATTTTAATGTAAAAATATATCGTTTATACGACGCACAGAATCGGTTATACGTCGGTTTTTAGATTTTGTTCACGTTTATTTAATTTTTTATTTTT